TGTGCCAGCGTCAGGCATGAGTGAATCTACGACGACGGAAGCCCAGCTGGGCAAGTTCCCAGGTACCAGCTCGTCAGTTGGCGACAACGAAAGTCGTGATTCGCAGGCAAATACATCAGGGCAAACGAGAAGTTCAGTTATTAAAACTGTAGGGCGTAATAATGGCGACCATAGCAAGGGCAACCAATCATCTCCGTCAACTAAATCTGCAGCTGTATCCAGTGAAGATCAGGAAAATAATAAGAAGAATCTGAAAGAGCAAGACAGTAAAACTACTCATAGGCAGGAAAATTCTGCGGAAAATCTAGCAGGTAATGGTACTTCACTGTCATCATCACACACTTCCAGTGCTCGCCGCTCTGTCTCGTCACCAACTCTTTTGCAAAGAACAGTCTTTACCACCAATTTTCCAGTCTTGAGGCAGTTTTCTGCCCCCTTCCTATTTCCCTCAGCGGGTGTATCATTTCCTTTGTATTCAAACTCAACAACAGGGCAGATGTTTGGATCCAGGGGATCACTGCGGCTTGAGCCTCGTGTTGTCAGAGCTCAACTGGCAGAAGCAGGCGCATTCCCAAGAACACCTCCAACCTCTAGTGCACAGCGGTGCGAGAGCAGGCCAGTTGTGACCAAGTGTACAAGTTGTTGCAGTGATGCTGATTTCAGCTATCCAGAAATTGGTGAAATGGAGTGGCTTGAGGTTGAAAATGTAAGTACCGTATGGTAACCCTTTAAGCCCCAAGGCTGCGCTCTAAGGAAAATTGAAGGGAGCCCAGTGCTCTGAACCTGTTAAATTTAGGGTGCCCAGCATATGATTTGTATGAAAAATCTGACATTTTCTAGTCACCCAAGGGCAAAAGTTAGGTGCCAGGGGCCACCAGGCTCTGCTAGAGCACAGCCCTGAGCCCTAAGAGTGATCAGCATCAAATTTCTCCTTGTAATATCACTGCTTTATAAAACAGAGTGGTCATGAAAATTAAGGACATGATAATACAAGGTGAATCTAATAATATTATTGATACTTCAACAAATTCTCCCCACTACATATATTGAAAACATTTAGGGATAACAAATGAGAATTTGAATTTTGATGTTTGGGTTTAAAGGATTAAAAGGGCTATGTCACAGCTGTCTAGTTCATTTTGTGAAAAATGCCAGTTGATGCATCCTTATTTACTATGGAACTTTAGAATTAAACATTCAATACACAGGAAACAACCAGGGTGAAGTACAAACATGGGAAATCTGTTCTGTTGACTATATGAATACAAAACTGACTTTAATTTGAACTAGTGAAAAGGCTTCACAAATGACACCAAAAAACTTTTCACGAAAAATAAATCTTTATTACACGTGCAGACACATAAAGGTAGTAACTCAATGGTTTGACTACACAAAGAAACATGTTTCACGTTTGAACAAATTATTCTTTTACACATTATTAATTGTTCACGGTGAACCAGAATACTCCTTTTCAACTTTTGCAGCACGCTTTAAATTTCCAAACCTTTTTCTACTCATTCTACTCATTTTAAAATATTTCTAAAAAGATTGAGAAACATTTCTTGGCTGCTGTATTGTATGATATGAAATGTTTACCACAACTTTACAGAGACTTCGATTTCAGTTGGCCAATCAAAGCATGACACTTTTTATTTCTTCGGTGAAAAGTTGCTGCAGGCAAGTGTGGTCAAAATGCTTGCTGCTATTTTGAGCCCTGTATGATGTATTAATGTACATTGGTTCTTACTGCAATTTGAACATATTATGTGTGTGCTATCTGCTCACATCATGTGTAGTTTTTTTTATTAAAATGGAATGACTTTGGTGCACCAAACTATAAAACAATAATGACTACAACCGTTTTTATTCATTTCAAAAAACTGGGTCAGTAACTTTGTAAAAATAGCTACCATGTTGCGGAATTAGGGAGCCATGGCTCTGTGATAAAATCTACAGTACAATTATTATGCTACATGTACATTAAAAGTCATAGACTAATTATTAGTTGAGGAAACAATGATCTTCATATTTTTTTAATTTTTTTTTTTTGTATCTGTTGTTTTACTTTTAGGGTAAGGAAGTTATTTTCTCTCATATCACTGCCATGCATTCTGAATTTTTACTGGTTGAAAAAGGAACTGGAATCTTATATCATTGGCCTTATGAAAGTGACATGGCATGTTCTGTTGCCATGGAGATTTCCTCTTCCCAGGAACCAACCTACTTGCCATTAGCAAAGCCACACCCACTGGGAGAAACTCTGGGATTGGACAGTGAAGAAGTTTGTCTTCTGGCGTCATCTGCTGTCCGCTGCTCTCTTGTGATGACAAGTGGAAAAATTTGCACTTTTTATGACAAGCTGTTAAGAGGTACATGTACAGATCTTTATCAAGATCTTTATTTTCACATACACTGTAGTTACATTGGATACATTAAAAAAAAATGAATGCACAAGCTAAATAAATGTAAAATATATTACATGTACTCAACTCAGTTCGAGATTCTTGATTCTGGGTAAATCAAGAATCGAGAACAAGCTATCGAGAATCAAGTCTCATGAGACAGAAAACAAAAGATTCACCCATGACTGATTTCCTGATAATTTTACTTAGACATACAATGTACATGTAAAGGCAGTAAGTAATGACTTCAGCACAGAGTTGACCAGTTAAACAGCAATATCCTTGTTACATAGCACCCCTTCATTTATACTGTTCCATTACTGCTGATACAGTGATTTTGCTACAAATAGTTATGGTGAGTCCTGGGACTCATGAGTCCCTGTCCAGAACCAATGAGTCCTCATTAAAAAAAAAATGAGTCCAACTCTGTTTTTTCAGTATACTGAAATTAAAATATAGTCCTTTTAGAAACTTCTAGTCCTGTTCTACAAATACACATGTTCAGATCAATCAATCGATATTTGCATCCTACAGGATGCATGTCATGAATTATTTTATGTCTTTGAGGATTTTTATGTGTAAGGGACACAGGATGCAGAAGTAACAAAATCACTGCTGATATTGATGGATGGGTTTTACTTATATGTTTTATGATAATGTTAAATGTACCTTTCCAGAATCCAATTGCGGAGACCCACCAGCCTTGATACAAGAACTCTCCCATCCAGCAATGGCATTTCCAGAACTTCAGGGAGAAAAGATTCTCTCAATCAGTTGCAGTGAATTTTTCACCAGTGTGATGACAAAGTCTGGTAAAGTCTTCTGGTGGTAAGTTTGGAACTGCCAGAGAATGTGCTGATACTTAAACCACAGTCATGACTATAAAAGAGAGTTGTGTTGGCATGATGAAGGCACAGGACCAAATTGATACAAAATAGTGAAGTGACTTTGAGAACCCTAGTCAGTGAACAGTTTTTAACAAAATCCTCTAAGTTAGGGTTCACTAAAACTCTTTATTTGTATACAAAACCTTGCAATTCTTTTCCTGATAATGTTCATTCATAATGTTCATTTGAATTTGAAAAGGGACTTTGTTTTATACCATAGTCAGATTGCATTTTGTTGTTTACTTGGTCACTGTGAAATAATCACTGTAAGGTAGACAGCAAACAGAGGACTGTTGCACAGTGCACAAAACAATATTTATGATTGACCTTCTGCTACATAAATCAAATAAGCGACGCTTCACAAATAACTTTGGGATTACATATGTGTATCTTACACTTGTAAACTTTACTGAATTCCGCACTTGGAATATTTTGATACCAAAGATACTAAACTCCATACAGTCTCTACTTCAGTTTGTATCACAGACAATTTTGTAACTTGGATACTTGCTTCTATCCCTGTGGTGTCCATATAAAGGAGATCACTGTACATCAGGGTTGTCATTAAGAGCCGGGGGCCGGGGATTTTCCCCGGCTACTAAGAGAGTAGCCCCCGCCTACTTTTATCGGAAAATAGAAGAAAAATAGAACCAAAAGAAATCCCTGGCCATTTGATTCCCCACCTACTTGTTGTATTTACCCGGCAACTTGAAATCTTGGTGACAACCCTGGTACATAGTTATAGAGGATAAATCAAATAAATAACTTAGAGCATCAAACATATATATTTTGCTACTTCTTATAGGGGTTTGTTACCTGCAGAAGAACGACAAAACTTCAAACAGAAGTTAAGCAAAGCGACCAGTGAAGCCAGCCACATTGGCATCAACGAGAAGGTCCAGCTTCGCCAACATTTCCCTGGTTTTCCTGGTGCTTTGGTGTACAGATGTTGTGAGATGAGGGGACCCATAGTGGGGCGTCTCATATGTCATGAGTCCCCTGAAGGAAGTAGCACGACTGTAACAAAAATCAGGGTTGAGCCTCTGACTGGCAAAATTGAAAGTGGTGTACAGCCTGTTAGTGACCCAGGGGGCTCAGATCATTCAAATACAGAATCAGTAAGCTCTCCAAGAGGAAGAACTGTTGAAGAAGAGTTAATCTCAAGTGACAAGGATGTAGTGCGGTCCTCTAGCCCTCATACCAGTGTTAAAAGGAAAGCCTTAAGCTCTAGCAAGCCAACAAATGGCTCAGAAACTTGGGAGGTCAAAGATGTTGTTTTTCTTGAAAGTGAAAACAAACTGCTGGGCACAGTAGCTGCCATTGATGGCCCTCATGTTATTGTCAAAGTAGCAAACATAATACCACCATCTGACTCCTCACTGCGTGTTTTCAAAGTCTCAGAGCTAGAGTCTGTACCTAGTGAAGGTGAAATGTCAGAAGGCACTGCTGGTAATCAGTCAATGCCAACAAGCTCACTGTACAGAGGGTGCATACAGCATACTCCAAAATGCATCGTGAACAGTTCAGGCAAACTACATGCCAGCAACAAAGAACTACTTTCTGGTCTTAAGCCATTAGCCATGGCGACTACTTCAATGGGAATTTCTCTTGTCGCCAACCGCTTATCCGACAGCAAGGCATTTTTCTTGGGTCCAGCCATGGAACAAGCAATTGACAGTAGCAAAGTTTTCACTTGCAGTAGTGATGTTAATGTTTCAAACAACAATGATGATGGTTCGTGTACTGTGGAAGCTGAATCAGTTAATAGTAAAGAAGGAGCTTTAGCACCAACATGTCTGGTATCATCAGATACACAAGGAAAAACAGTTACTGGGCAGAAGAGAAGAAGGGAAGAAGATGATGACGACAACGGTGACGATGATGATGAGGATGTGGAGAGTCTTCCAAGTGCTGTAACAGCAGCTATTGAAGTTGATAGTCCTCTGGCATGTAATGTTCATTTATCAACTCATAAATATCCTATGCTACATTCAACCAGTGGCTGTGAGATTGTCTTGCTGACTGATATCAATCGCTGCATTTACCCAAGGCCTTTTGGCACCAAGCTGTTGAACCCCAACATAGGGGAAATTCCATCAATTCAAAGTTTTGGTCTCGGAACAAGACTGGGTCAAATGCCAGGAAGCTGCTCTCCACCTGAAAAAGTTCTTATGGTATTTATAGGTTGGTATACATCATCTGTCTAATGTCAGTTGTGCCTTTCACTCTCTCTGTGTTTAGAGTGCTTTCTGCTTTGTGAAACACAGTTATTGTGCAATTTTAGACAAGAAAGTGTTTGCTGACCAGTACAATGTACCGTCTCAAATACCAGAAGTGTTAAAGTGAATTCACCACTTAAACCCTTTAAGTCCCAATATCCGCCTACAAATTCTCCAAACTGATCTCCATACATTTCCTTGAAGAATTAGTTGAGAGAATTTGGTAAAAGATCCAATATTTTTCTGTTTGTGATCATTTTGTTAATTCCCATAGACTTTGCTCATGATAGACTATGGATATTGTAGGGAGAAAATTGATTTTGAGCACCATTGGGACTCAAAGGGTTAAAAGTAAAAAAGGAAACTTGGCCAAGTTAACTTTCGCAAAGAATTCTGGTAGTGTTACTAGGGAGAGGGAAAAAATCGGCCAATAGCTGACCACTGCGTCCCCAGTAACAATCCCAGAAAGAATTGCGCGGCGGTTCCTTTCCCGTTTCTTAAGTGGCAAATGTGCTGACCTTGTTATCTCTTTTTTGTTCACCAGCATTTCAAGAGCAAAGGTTGTTGCAAGCAGTGCAATCTGGTATTGTGCAAAGGATCAAGCAAGCATTACAGTGGTTAAAGCAACTCAACTCCAGCAAAGATATGGGGAAGGGTAGCAAAGGTAGACCAAAGGGCACCAAAAAAATGGCTATCACTGGAAGTCATGGGCAAATTCAGCAAGAAACAAGACCTTCGGGGGATGCAGCTGTAATCAGCAAAAGGGTTTTACAGATCCTTCATCAACGTTCTTCTTCTAACCAGAATGTTGTGCATATTTGCTGTAGCAATCCGTCATATGCTGAGGATCAACAAGCAGATGTTATGAGCCTATTACAAGGTACTAAACTCCTGTAGATGCTACGATTTTACTTACAGCTGCAGCATGCTTATTTAATTTCCTCAGATGAGCTCTAGAGGGTTACTTACATGTATAAGTCTTTGTTATTCATTGTAGTGTTCTCCCTAAATTTTAACTCAGTAGGTAAAGAAGCATTCATGCCCAGTAAGGCAAAAAATATGCCCCAGAGCTGCACTTTCTTGGGGGGGGGAGGGAGCAGTAGGGGAGTGAGAGACATGGCCCCACCCTAGGAGGAGCTAAGTTGTTTGAAATATCATTCCCTCATTTTAAGACCTCTTTTACGCAAATCGGCCGTTGTTATCTTTAGACAACAATTCAAAACGTTTATTCCCAATAATTTTACTCTGTCTTCAATCTTCTCTTTCCAAAATGTGTGGCCTATTATAAGAAAAGCTGGGTACATGTATACTTTAGTACTTTTTTCATATTATATTCATTCATTTCCTTGATTGGATCGGATCACAACTTGCTTATTTCTTTAAAACTACTCATGTAATTTTAGTAAACCTTCAAGCGCCGGTTACAGGCAGTAAGAAGTGTTGCTTCAGGTGGTAAATTTCAACAGTTACCGCCTGATAAGGAGAACACTGTCAGTGAACACAAATTGAAACATAAATAGAGCATATTACATGGCATTGTAGAGATATGAAGTTTCTTGTCCTGTGTAAGAACAATATTTCAAAGGCGAGTACAGCAAATGAGTGGAATATTTCTCAACACAAGAAGAGAAAATTTGTATCTTTAAGTGGTCATTTAATGTTCTATTTATTGTATTAACACCACTGACATACCAAACCATTTTCACTGTGATATCTTTTGCCTTGAGAGGTGTGATTCATTATGTAACCATAGCAACATTGATCTCACCCACAACTGGGAGCCGTGCCAAGCCAACCCGACAATGCCGAAGATATCATGTTTTTGTGCAATAGCTAGCATGGTACAGTAGTTCACGAGTGTTTATGTAATAAAATAGCAGATATCAAGAAGAGGAAAAACAAAATTATATTTCAGATGGTGGTGGATCTTCAGACCTTGATTCTGATGGTGCAAAGGATATCCCGATTGATGTGGCAGGATTACACCTTCTTCTTAATGATTCCATTTTTGCTAAAGAGCTTGTTCCAATGGTGAGTAAAATCATAAGCTGCTTTTTTATGGTCATGAGATTACTCTTAATAGTTAGTTAACACATGTCAAGTGCTCTTCTTTTGTCTCCTGGATACAGGGTTGTCACTAAGATTTCAAGTTGCCGGGTAAATACAACAAGTAGTCGGGGAATCAAATGGCTAGGGATTTCTTTTGGTTCTATTTTTGTTCTATTTTCAAAAAGACCATTGTAGCCTGGGAAAATCTTCTATTATTAGTCTGAAACTTCAGTCTGGATTCAAGACCATTGCAAGCTCTTCATTTTAGTCTGAAACCCAAAGTGTTTTATTTTCACAATCCCAAAGTGTTTTTGATGATTATAAAAGTCCATATTTCAGTTTCTAGAGGCTATTTTGAGTCTTGATCACTGACATTGATCATTTTCCATGTTACCACAGTCACTGAAGCAAATTTTGCTCATCATGCAAATTTATAAATGGAAATTAACAATGTAGAATGTGGGATGAACCAGTACAACAACTGCATATCTGACTAGTAAAATTAATGTTAAAACATGCAACATTATTTCATTGTTTTTTTTATTATTATTATTATTTTCTTCTTGTACTGCAGCACTGTTCATCAAAAAATGTTGCCCATATTTCTGAGCCCGAGAAACTCAATGCCCCAATATTTTATTGATCTGTCTCCTGTAAACTGCATACTTGATTTGGGTATTTAAAGAAAGTCTGAATTTTTATACCCAGCGCAGGCAATCAATCTACATGTACTTTCCGACCCTTGTAAGCCCGGTTTGTTTTTTTATAGCTTAAAGATCGTGATGCTCGTGGCTACACTCCATTCATGACAGCTATACAGAACCATAACTTGAAAGCTGCCTTGTACATTCTGGATTTCGTAGAGAACAATAAAGGTATTTAACTGAACAGTATTTTTTCTTCTCATCACTTGCATTTGTTCAATTGTAATAATATTATTATTCACGTCTCACTTGATGATGGAGTCAAGAGGACCCCAAAAAGGTTTGGGATAAATCTTCCAGTTTTCTTATTATTATTTTATTTACACATAATTATGTAAGGACCACTTTTCAGGCCACAATATTACCTTTCTGCTGCTAAATTTTTATTCATGAAGCTAAGCTGCATAAATTTTACATTCAACAAAAGTCCCAAAACGTTTATTATATTAAGGGCAGAAGCCCTCTTGTGGTTTCTATAGCACATACATGTACAAAAATGCACTGGTATTTATCAGTAGCAGAAAATGGAGTTTGATAGGTCAAGACCTTGTACCTTATACCGCCTTCTTAATACATTCAAACATCCCACTAGTGACCAACCCAAAGTGTGTAGGTTTTATAGTGGTTACTTTTGGGAGGAGGTCACTGACAAAAATCAAACCTCAAGGCAGGCAGGGGGTCTTTTGTGAGATTTGTTTGGACACCTTTTTCATTGTAGAGAATTATGTTATTGCATGCGATTATTAAGACTGATATGATATGTGTAGTTCCTTGTTGTCACTAAGAATTCTTCTTAATATACTCCAAGTGGCATAGTACATGGAACAAACATAAGGATTAGACTAAACATCAAGTGGGCACGTACATGACAGGAGGGTTTAAACTGTGGAGAATTCTACATCTGTTATCCCCCAAGAGTTTTTAACTGTAGAGCTTTGACCAGAAAAATTTTGGTATTTTAAAAAGTGAGTGCCTACATGAGATGGTTGCACATGTAATGGACTATACAAAACAAAACTATCTTATTATGAATTGTATTTCTCTGCCCCAAGGGGTAGGGGTAGTCCTCAAAATTGCCATACCCACCTTAAATGTACCCAAGTATAGCTGTAGTAACATGCTGTGAGAACAATCTGAGCATCCCTTCTAGGGGAGAAGTATACGTTTTGTAAAAACACCCATAACTACCTCATTCTGGATAACCTACCTTACAGACTGACCTTACCAAGGCTGGCCTCGTGCCTTTAACATTTTTCCTTTGCCTATTACAGGAAACACCAACCCAAAATTACAGTGTTCAGTGGAGGAAATGATTTATCCTGAGGCATTTAGTGGCGTGACACCCCTTCATGCACTTGCTATTGCCTGCACAGAGAATCTACCCCCCAGCGGACTGGGGAATAGTCTTACTGTCACTAACCTTCCATCAAGCTACACTCCAAGGATTCTACTGAAGCTGTTTCAAGCACGATACCCATCGGCCTACAGGGCCACAATACCACCTGTTACAATGGAAGGGAGAAAGGTATAGTCACTTTCCAAGGTAGAAATTTGAAAACAGTTTGAGGCCAGTACTTTTAAGCACATGCAGCTGCAAATGCTGAAGGAAATGATGTTCACACGTCCATCAGTAACACAAGGAAGTTCAAGATACGCAGGCACAGTCCAAGTCTCTTCCCACTGAACCGTGACGGCATGGAACCTTGTATTTGTATTTGCATTTGTGATGTCGTTGTTCATGTGTTCAGGAGTGCAAATGTAAGGGCAAGAAAATTTTTCTATTTCTTGCGTTGCTGCGTGCACTTGCCTTTGCATTTGCATCACACATGTGGGTCAGATCTAAGTTTCATTAGTCTGTCAAATACGATTGCCTCTAATGCCTTGACTGAATTTTATAGAGTAAAAGAGTAATGTGGAATTGATCTGAGTGTGGCAGAGTGAAGCAAAGAAGAGAAGCATAAAGCAGACTTCAGGGCCCAGTTGTTCAAAGGCCAATTAGCGCTAACCCAGGGCTAAATTTTAATCCGCATTTCTTTTTCTTGGTTCAAAAGCATTTTCTGTTTTAGAGCTTCCAATCATAAAGGTGTCGACAAAAAGGTTTTAAAGTGAAATTGCCTTCTAAGCTTTCATATTTGAATTAAAATTTTGCACTAACCCTAGGTTATCTTAACCCAGCTTTGAACAACCTGACCCAGGAGATTATGATTGACTCATGTCGACCAATAAAGAATTCACAAACTATGAAGCGGAAGAGAAACATGCCTGAAGACTATTTCCCTTTAGTTAATCTGTCTCTTGTTAGCAGGATGGAGTTGTTTGATAAATTCATTTGTTGAAATTAAACAAAGTTAGTGACCATGGCAACTTGCATGCTCTGTTCACAATTTACCCTGGATGAGTGCTAGCTGGGTTTAGAGAAATTTGGCCCAGAAAATCAACCTCCCACTTCAGTGAAATAAAATCATTCATTCTTCATGATAATAAAACTAAATTCCTTTGTTGTGGTGTGTTTTACTGTTTTCAGTGCTATCGTACCAAAACTCCAAAGCAAAGGTTCTTAGAAAAACACCAGAAAGTGAAGGTGAAGAAGGTGCACAAAAAAACTGCAGAAGGCAAAAGGGGATCACTGTTGACGCCAGCTACTTCAAGTATAAATTACAATCCTTGGTCAAGACGTTATGTTGGAGAAGGTGGAAGAATACCTATCGTTGGCAATCGACGAGAGTCGCTAATTGGTAAGATTTATATCAGTATAAGATTCTAGGAAACTTCTTACTCACTCCCCTCTAAAAACCAACCTTAACACTAACTTATCATTAAGGGCAATATGTTGGTTTAGGGGAGAGGTAGGTGGGTGTTTTTCTTGAATCTTATACTGATCCCAAAAGCTGCTATAAAAAATATTGTTAGTTCAAAGGTTTTTAGTAGACTTAGAATTGTGCCTTATTTTCCTCTGGGATGGTAGAGAAAGATAAAATAAAATCCTCAAATATGCGAGCATGAGCGGAAGTTGCCACATGCAAAAACAGAAGACAGGAAGAGAAGAGAGAGAACACTCATGAGTTTTACACACATCCATGCATTTCTCTTGCACTGCTATCTTTAAGGAAAACAAATGGCTATTCATAAGTAGGCTGGGCTATTCATAGCATAGTTCTGGGATTCAAGGCACTGTTTTGAATGTGCAGTACATGATTCCAGACCTCACACTGCCTCTACTGTCAAAGAGAAGTATTGCGGCATAATAACTTTGTATTTCATGTAGATGACATCTTACTGGCTTAGACATGTAATATTATTCTGGAATGAGTATGGGTACAACATATTCAACTCTCTGTAAGGAAGAGAAAAATCACTTCTATGAGAGGTATGCAGGCGCAGATCAAGGATAAATACTGACCGTAAATGAGTGCTGAAGGTGCAAGCTTCTAGGGGGCTGTGGGGGGCATGCTCCCCCTTGAAATGGCCATTTCAAGGGGGAGGCCAGTGGGAGTTCACCATTAGCAAAGAATGATATAGGAGGCCAGGCCAATGGCAAGTTCTATTCTCCCCAGATGATGATAGTCTTGCAGATCGGCGGATTATTTCATCTGGCGATTTCAACTTGGAAAGTTTATTTTTATTAATAATATTATTATTAAAAATACGTTTATTATGACAATCTGTCCGATCTCCGTAAAACGGTGCAAACTTGTGTGGATCCACACCTGGGTATTCATTGTCGAGAGATTTCTGTAAAACGGAATTTATACGGCAATGTTCGCCAATATATTAGTTTTCTTATAGACATTTTGAAGATTACACAGTAACTTGTTATAGTTTGTACCTTGTTACATTGATATGTTTCATACTCGGCTATCAATTAAAGTTGTGGAGTGGAAATTCTCAAGAGGACCATTATAAATTACAAGCAGTTTCATTTAAATGGTCCACAAGCTCAAGAATTTCATTTGTTTTCCCTTTTGAATGGTGCTTAGGCATGGTGACATTTGCTGATCCAAGAGAACTGAGACAAGCTCTTGTGGAGATGGATCACCATATGGTGTCAAGTGAGATGACTGCTCCCGAAGGAGGGCTTGCCAGCTTAGTACAGCATGTACTGCGTGTAAAACTTACTGAGGTGTGTCATACATTCATGCACAATCATCGATATTTCATTTACCCAACCAACCCATGCCTTTTGGGGCCAAATTTAGGTTGCTTGGAAACTGCACACCTACCCCTCCCTTAAGCCTACATTTTCTCTTAACTGAGAAGTAAGTGTTAATGTTGGCTTAGGGGAGGGGTAGGTGTTTGTTTAAGCACACTTGCAAAAGGTCAGAAATGGCCAGTCGGACCAGTCATCTTGAAAGTGTAACAGGCCTTGCGCAAAAACCAGAGCTGCTTGTAGTATTTAGAAATCAACTGATCTGGATGGACAAGTCTGATTAATAGTAGATTTTTCTTTAGTTGACTTGTGAATGGGCTGGTTTGGCTCGTCAGTTCTGACTAAGTAACACTGGGCCGGATGATAGCCGTTAGTAGAGGTTCGACTGTATTTGTCCCGAGTCCATGACTGAGAGACAAATACGATAGGGGCATTTATACGAGGAACATAAGATGCGTCTTAAATCTTATCTAAGAACAGGTGTTTAAGGGCTGTTCTAAAATAAGATGCGTCTTAGCTAAGCCGCGTCTTATTTTAGACAAAATGTGCTGTTTATACGGAAAGTTCGCGTCTTATTTAAGACGCGTCCTATGTAAGACGCGTCTTATTTTTCCTCGTATAAATGGCCCAATTGTATCAGTAAACCAATTATTTGATTTTCGTATGGCCTCTAAGTAGTTGCGTGAACACAACACAATTAACAGACAAAATAGTGGGGTTTTTTTGTTTGCAGATGTGGGCAAATTCTCGAAGCACGTAAGGGACCTTGCGAGACGAAAAGCAGCTATTATGTTTGATATCTCTGTCTTTTCTGGGTTCAGTGTGATATGTCAATCAAACGAGGCTCTTTCAATTATTAGACAGCCTGATTTCTTTCAAATCGTAACATTTGCTTTTTAGTTGGAGAACGAAGAGACGGAAAAGCTTGACATGGAGGTGGGTGTCCGAGGAAATGTCTACAATGTATCCAATGTTGAAGGAAAGGCCAAGATAACTCCTAAAGCTCAAACTGCTGACGCTGTTCAAGACAAAATGGCTGTGAGTTAGATGTTTTCTGAGTAAACTAGATCTAGGAGCTGTGTCACAAGATTTGTCAAAATTCAAACAGTGGAAAACTGACCACCTACCGGGACTCATAATTGGCATTATTAACAAATTGAACTCAGAAGCTGTGACACAGTCCCTTTAAGTTAGATTCCTCCATTGGCGTGTGTTAGGATACTGTAAATGCTTGCAGAAAGCAACTTAAAAGTTAGTCCGGCATTTTGATTATTCGGTTTTGCGACACAATAATACAATACTTGTAAAGTGGATCCTGTACACATTCTTTACACTTTTAACAGAACTAGAATCCAGTCCCTTAATGTTTAACTTTTGTGATTTTGTCGCAATTATTTCTCCAAGATTCAGTTTTACATAGAAAATGATGCTAATTTCAAATAATTTGTTTTTCTTTTGTTAGGCTGAAGACAATAAACTAATATGCCAGCTATTTTCTCGCCTGTTGTCATATCCAGAAGTAAGTGCTTAAGATTAATAAAAAGTGAAATGTATAGTGCAAGTCGCTCACTCGCTCAGTGTTTTTGAAATTTGGACACGACTTTCAACTTTCCGCTGTGATATAAGGAAACATGGCCAAGGTTTTTTTTTTGCAAAGACTTCTGGGATTGTTATTGGGGACAAGGAAAAAAATTGGCCAATAGCTGACCGGTGCAGCCCTAGTAACCATCCCGGAAGTCCTTGCAAAAACTAACTTGGCCCACTTGTGGTTTCTTAAGTAGCAAATATTGCGTGGCTGTTAGTGACTGGGTCTCGTACCTGTTTTCAGATTGCGACAGCCAGGAACAAGGAAAGCGAAACTTCTCTGGCGTTCCTGGTAAACAATTCACGCTGGATCAAGCTTTCTGCCAACCAAAGACTGCTGCTGACCAAGTATGGGAACCTTTTGTTTGGACAAGAAGCAACATCCCCTGGGGGAAGTAGACGAGAGGTATCAACGCCGTCCGAGACTTCAGACACTGGGAAGGAAGAGGATCAGATCATGGCAGAAATAAATATAACGGGAATAGCTGATCCTGCCATGTTGGAAAGTAACCTGCTTGCGCAGCTTGATGACATCTCAAGTAGTTTCCGCAGCATTGTGGATACATTGACTGCTCTGGAGAGAAGGTGCTCAACCGGGGAAGAACAGCAACAAACAGCATCAGGAGCTGCTGAAGACAAGGCAAGATCAGCTGTGAATGGAACTTCAGCGGATGGAGTTTCAACGGATGAAGCTTCAGCGTCAGGTGCTGAAAATCAATCAGCAGAGCCTAATCTGATGTCATTTCCCACTACTAGCACGATTGTTACTGATGACCTGTCTTGCGAGAGCCAGCCTGTTTTGATACAGCTCACACAATGCTGGCCCTCAGTTGCATCGACCGTACTTGGGTACTATCCAAAGGATCCTTCAGATGTTAACATGGTGGAGGTACCAAGGGACTCCAGTGGAGATGATCAGAAAAACCATCCCGTGCTGGCCCTATGGAATCATGTGCGCTTGACTCGTTTGTGTTTGAACTGCTGTCACATGCTGACGAAGCTGTCCTAGTCAGCTTTGTGGAGACCATCGTTAATGAGATGAACAAGTACTCGGAGTGCATCACTCTGGAAGCTGTTCAGGGTGTAGGTGAGCTGAACAGTGCCTCAAGTCCAAGAGAGGTTGCTATGACTGTGGGAATCAAGTTTCTGAGATCTGTAATCCGACAGTTGGCCGTACATCTTAGCAGGTCTGGTTTGTCTTATGTTGATCTTCGAACTAGGCTTGGATCAAACTCCTCGTCAAGTGGTGGCAGAAACAGTCAAAGTGATAACCTAGAGTTCAAGAGGAAAGTCAGGTACGTTCAAGGGTATAAAATGTCAAAATTAGGTTGTGTTTGATCGTCCGGGTGAACGTGGTCCTGAATAGGACTGTTGTTGTTGACGGTGACTGACGTTTCGACAACCTGTGCGGTATTCATCTTCAGAGTCAAAGTGAGTTGTATCACGTCAGTTGATGGTATTATACTCTGGTTATTGATCTGATTGGTCAATTACGTCGCGATGTTATTGGTCGTCTGTCAGTTAAGCCGTGATGTTATTGGCTATGACGACCCGAACGATCAAACTCAACCTACTTTTGAAATGACTCCTGGGTTCAAACCTTTCACAGGTATAAAATGTCTTAAAGAAATTGTTCCATTCCCAAAACTATTCAGGAACTTTATTTTTACATTTAGTTTGAAGGAGAATAAACCACAGAAGAGAAATGTTCTTCCACGCATATACATTAGTTCAGTTTATATACTGTAGATCATCTCCGTTCTCGGGTTAAGCCAGAATAGCGAAAGTCGAACGAATTTCAGCGCCAGCCCTCGTTGTCAAGTTGTTTTTTAAGTTTTGCGTGATTGAATTCCTTGTAGTACTGTTGAAAAGAATTATTATTAAAGAGTTATTATTATTATTATTATTATTATTATTATTATTATTATTATTATTATTATTATTATTATTATTTTTATTTTTATTTATTTTTTTTTTGTCTTCCTTTTTTTCACCAAAATAAATTGGTTATCATTGCAGAATGATCTTGCGCTCATTTTCCTGGCTGGCTGCTCACGAGCTGGTAGAAGCAGCAGAAGCCTCTGTCCTTCCAGTAAGAGAGGGTGTGGCTAAACCCCAACCCCGCTCCACTGGTTCCTCCATCAGCAACAGCATCCCTCATCAAAATGGAGGAATATATCCAGCAAGATTCCAGTGTAGACCGGGTAGGTCATAAAGTGATCTGACTTCTATTGATCTCGGCTACAAACCAGGAGCCTGGCGCCCATATTCGCACATACGCCCGTGCATACAGCTGAAATCTGGAAAAATATACATTTTTTTATTTCGTGAAAGCATTGTTGTCATTAAATCGGGATGTTTGATAAATCTTTCGCATTGTTTTGTATTTCTGAGCCACCAGATATGAAACATTTTCTGGGGGAGCATGCCCCTAGACCCCCCTAATTTGGAGTGCCTTCGGCGGTCTAACCTTTCTTCCCATGTGTACATGTACGCCTTCAAAATCTCACGCTACGCTCCCGCAAACTGTGTTGTCAATTTTCTGGGTTGTAACTTAGGTTTACTCAATTAATTTGCATTCGCCACTTGAGCATTTCCCTAGCCTGTATGTCAGGCCCTCAGATAGTAGGGAGGTCGTGAAAACAGGTCAAGCCAAGTCCACGATTTTTTTTGCACATTACTTTCTTGGAGCCTGGATTAGACTGACATTTCCCATAATACACCTTGTTTCAACATCAGCGTCAAGTCTCATCGCGCCAGTAGGCGCATAAGGCCTCCTAAAAATGTCCCCTAAAATTTTGTACTAGTGATGCTGAAGACGCACTAAGCGGTCGTCTTATTTTACACTCAGGGATTCGAGTCAGTGGACCTCATGATTCATCTGGCAGAGGGCATGATCCACTGCTCAGGACTGCTCAAAGGTAACAACTATCAGATATGGATGAGATTTATGTGGCAAACTGGCCTACCTACCCTACCCTAAACCAATGTGAACATTACCTTTTCACCAAGGACAAAATGTTGGGTTAGGAGAGGGGTAGGTGGGAAGTTTCTGAGACTCTTTTGCAGTGAAAGCTCCCTATCAGCGACCACTCTGGGAATTCATAAAAGTGGTTGCAGCTAGAGCTAGTTCAGTTTATAAGAGAGATCCTGAGATAAAACTCTTGAGGGTGGACGCTCAGGAAAAAATAAATTGTCGTTGAAGGAAATCGTGTTATCTCAATCCTAAATCTTTTGTACGTAGCCCGTCATGGTTATTACAAGCTTTGCCTCTTAAATCCCTTCACGCTGTCTTTTCTCTCTCTCTCTCTCTTTCTCTTTCTCTCTCTGGATAAGAATTCAACCGAGCAGGCCATCACAGAACGTGACATCTTGTCGAGGAATCAGACTGGCGAACATCACAGATGGACCATCCGTGGTTCCTAATAAGAAGCCCTCTCCGAGTCCCTTCAGAGTGTCACCGTTTGGACTCTCAAGGAGCGTCACCAAAAGGAGCTCTTTACTGGACAGTGACAGTGACTCTGACGAGGAACATGATATTTTGGGGCCCTTGGATGGTGATACTGATAGCAATATGGACCTAGACGAGCCAGAACCCAGCTCTGTTTCTATGGCAACAGGAATTACTCATGACCACCCTTACGCCTGGGCTTTGGATGGAAGGGTAACAGGTTCAAATGAGGGGAATGGTATGCCAGGGCATATTCATGTAAGTACTGAACTACATGTGAGGTATCTGTGAACTTAAAACAAATTATGCACTGAAGCACACGTACCAACTCCGCGGTATCTGTAAACTTACAAGTGAAACATACTTTCATGTCGCTCTTGCAGAGCAGCTGTCAGTTTTTAAAAGCTTACCAATCTTACTCGAACAACCCCCACACCCCCATCTTCTCGGAAATTGCCTCCTTTTGGACTCCCTACTTCCCCTGGAATTTCCGTTACCCTCCGTGGCGGGGGTGCCGATATTTCTGGAACTACACATTGTACGTGTGTACTTGAGTAGAATGCGAGAAAGGTCTAGTGTCGTAAGAGAGAATACAGCTATTTTTTCTTTTTCCTGTAATTAAGTACCCTGTCAAATAGTTCTGTTACTGATTACAGATCCCACAGTTGGCCTCAAGCGTGATATCTCCACCCAGCATCCACACTGGAAACTGCTACTTGACTCGTATGTTCGCACGGTTGGTGAAGGAAACGCTGGACCTTATGTCCTCTCTCTGAAGATTCAGGCCCCTCCCAGCAGGGGGCAGGCAGTGAAGCCGTCCTACCCGCCTTGTCACTTGACCAGCAGGAGTGCAAACTGATTCAGGACTCTATGATGTCCACCCTGGAGAAATCGTGGGCGTGGCTCGCTGGGGTGTTGGATGTGGTTGAGGGGCAGTTACGAATGGGAAAGCAATTTGATACTAAGGTTTGTCATTGTTGGTGTATAGACCTCTTTCATAATGGCGGCCTACTGATATATTCTTTCATATGTATGATAATGGTCCTCGTTTGAAAGTAATTTGATTTTGCTAAGGTTTGTCAAAAGTTACCTATAAAAAAAAAATACATTAATAGGCTTCATTTGAAAGAGGTCTCTGTCATTTGCTCAGCTATAGCCAAAGCCTTTCAACTCTTAAGAAGTCGACTAGAGTACGAAAAATTAAGAAAATCCCAATTTTTACTCTGGAAAATACTGCAAAAGAGTAATTCCCGTGACCAAGAGTGCCACAAAGACTTCGTTTGAATGGTCATACCGTCGGTTTTGGTCCACAGATTCAAAAGTTAGAATTACAGTACACGCCTTCATAACTGTCCGTGACGTCATTCTTCCCAATTTTTTAATCAATTGGTCATTGACGTTCTTCCCGATTTTTTCTAACCATTAAAAAATATTGACCATCGACGTTTGTCATTCAAAATCACTTGTCTTCATTTTCTTCAAATTTTTGGACCGCAATCAATCATGTAATTTATTAACGTCTTCGGATTTGTCATCACTGTGTTTGTTTGGGGTGGCAAACAAAGAGCATTATGGTATGTTATGATGTTTTCTGCAGTGGTCAATTGGACCGCTGTATGTCTTCCAAATTTGTTCACCGTGTTATAGGATAATTAACTGAGAGATTTAAGCCAATCAGAAACGGGTAAGTTTTTTGAATAAATATTAACAAAATATGTACTTTATCTTTGCAGAGATATCTTACCTCACTTCAGCGCCCTGAGGACACGGAATTGGCCATGTTGACAAGGACTGTGTCAACTATCCCCGGGGCCTCCCCTGAGGAGTACCTTATGTTCCTTCTGAGAGCGCATAACAATGAACACAAGGATTCTCTTCCTGTTGTTGATATGCTATGGTAAGTTCTTAGCTGTGAGCCTACGTGGCCGGCGTCGAAAGAGGAGGGGAGAGGAGGGAAAGGAAGTTTCTCCTTCGCGTTTTTATCCCCACCCCTCCCCCCCGTTGTTGATATGATGTGGTGAGTGAAGAGTTATGGTAACGTCTTAATTGTGTGCATCGCCAAAAGCTGTTAGCCTACGTGACAGGTGTCGAAGGAGGAGGGGAGAGGAGGGAATGGGATTTTTCCTGCTGTGGTTTTATCCCCACCCCTCCCCTCTCGTTGTTAATATGATGTGGTGAGTGAAAAGTAACGGTGACATCTTAATTGTATGCATCGCCAAAAGCTGTTTGCCTACGTGGCCGACGTCGAATGAGGAGGGGAGAGGAGCGAAAGGGATTTTCCCTTTCGCGCTCTTCTCCCCATCCCTGCCCTTCCCCTCCCCTAACCGTTTTGCCCCTGCTACGCAGGCGAAACGCCGTTGGCAATAAAACCCGCTCGAAAGTGCGATGTTCTTGCCTACAGTTTTTGTTGGTTGATTGCGCTACACTATTCACGCTAAATCATGTAGGTTTACTCGTTTTTTAACTGTAAATCAAACTAACTGTAAATCAATCAAACAATTTGCAAATGGTGCAAACACTTTTCTTGCTATTCTTCATGTAAAAGAAAGGTCGTGAAAATTTAAGTATTTTCAACATTACAGCTACGAACACACTGTGTATGTTCTGGACGCCTTCATTTACTCTATGACTCACTGGCCACGCGCTGGAAAAGGCCTGGACCGAAGAGTCTCGATCTCAAGCCACGATGGAGACGACTCAGGTCTCAGTTCCTCTCAGCCTCTGCAGAACGAGGAAGGGCCCTCGGGACAAGAAACTAGGCCGTCCCCTAATACTGCAGAATCCAAACGACGCCGTCGCCATAGCCATGATCGGGAAAGGATCGTAACATTTTTCGGCATGGACGTGATGCATACTGATAGAGAGAAGTTTCTAAACAGTCTGCAAGATACAGTGCAACAGAAATTTCCCAAAGTTCCCAAAGCATCCTGGGAAGTTTTCACACATAACGTGACAGTCGCTCGTCAGAAGTCTTGTGATGAGACAAATCTTGCGTTACAAAAAGAGAATGAGGAAGAGAGCAAGCTACCAACCACATTCAGCGCCTTGCCCAAGTAAGTACCGGTTGTCATATTGTTGGTTGTCATATATTGTAAACAGAGTCTCGTAGAAACCTAACCACTATGCCATAGAGTTGTAAACGAGTAAGTAGTTCGGTTTTCGGAAGAAGCTGGAGGTTGTAGTCGATATTACTTCGTCGAATCCGATGCAGCGCCGAAATCCTTGTTTTGGGCTCCTACCTGTGTACCCGGATTTGAGTACGTGCCATGATTGGCTTGTTAAAAATCCCATTGTCGATCTGCCAATCAGGTTAAAGAGAAATTCGAAACACACTTCGGATAATTCGTTGAGTCCGGTGGACTCGGCGCTGCTTCGCAGACGTTACTAACTGAGACTAGATTACTTTGCGACGCAGGCTATACCTAGATATGTTCTTTGTGTTTGCAGACACGATGTGTCTTTCCCTCTTGTGCTTATGTGGTCACCTGATCTAGTGATGGCCAGATGGAAGATCTCTGTGGATCTGTTTTCCCGCATTTTTCTTGCCGACGGGCCTGGAGCCGAGAGAGAGAGCTTCCTGGCGGCGCGAGCTGGTGTGGCGGGCAGACTAGCAAGGTACAGTATAGTGACCAACATCAAATTTCTCGTCACAATATTATTGCCAAATCAAATGTCCAGGTAAAAAGAATGAGTGGAATGATCAGCACTGAGAAAATATCTTGATGTTTGGACAAATTCTCTCAAACAGTTCAGTAAGAAACATGTGGAGAACAGTGAAGAGAATATACATGTTGATATTGGGGCTTAAAGTTCAAAGTGGAAGTCAATCCAGTATTTTCTGTTCAGGACCAAATCCGGGATCGTGACATTTATCCACAAATACAGCTGTGGGTAAACGGGCGAAAAATGTGTTCCCTGGGGTGCTTACCATTTACATAGGAGAAAATTCTGGTTGAAAAATAAAATGGTTCGCGCCATTCCGTGTGATTTTAGGGCATGGAATTTTTCTACTCTTTTTAATCTGTTCAGCTGATTTGGATTTACGTTGTAGGGGTTCAATCTCCCACCAAGTCAAATTTTATAGTTTATGTTTATGCAGAAAATTTCCACCCGGGTCTGGTTTGGGTAAATGGTAAGCACACCTGCCTGTTTCCGCCGAAAAAGTAGTAGTGACTTTATGTAACCCCTTCCCCACCGTAAAAGAGATGTCTTTGTATGCTCAGCGATTAGAGCATCCAAACTAGATCTCAAAGGGTCGGGTGTTCGATTCTCACCTGGAGCTCGAAAGGGTTTTCTTTTTTTAGTTTTCTGGTGTTAGATTTCTCCTTCTTCCAAATTACGCCAGTAAGTTTATATTAGAACAGTGATAATCATCTTTATGTATTGATATTGTTGGGGGAATGTTTATGTTGATCAGTCTTGTCCTTCTTATCATCATGTATATTTGTGTCCAGGTTCCGCCGCGCAGTTTCATATCTACGTGACTCTGTCACCAATGAATCCCAGCAGCTTGGTCCTTATGGATCAGTGGGAGGAAGAGTGGGTACCACTCTCTCTCTGTCAATTAAGAGGCAAAAGATCCTGGAAAGCACACTAAGAATACTTGGAGAGGTGATTAACATTGTTTTATAATTTTGTGGGCTTACTGGAAAGATTCTCTTTTTGTGTTGATAGTTTTCTCCTTTCCTCCATATAATTAGCCGATGACCCATTTTACAGTTGAGTATTTTGTGGCCTGGTCATTACATGGAAGTGAGGCCGGGGTTAACATCGTTAAGATGCAAACCTCAGTACTTTCAAATATTTTTTTGCAATATAGTATGTGAACGAGGCAAGGAGGAGGCATCAGAGACCCGATTTCAAGTCCCACCCTGACCGCGAGCTGTATATTTTTCTTGGTAGCACGAAGCTCAATCCTCGACCACCCCTTGATCTTGTAAATACAACACAAGTAGTAGCCTGCACTTTTTTAAAGTGACTATACTATCGGGATTTATGTCTTCTCTGATAAGCTGGACATTTCTTTCTGTCCACTTGTGTTGTAAGGCATGGAGAGTCCGTGTTACCCCACAACAGTCTACCTGTGTCCTACTTCTCTTGCAGATGTCTACCTTTCACTATAGCAACCTGCGAATCAAGTTTGAAGGAGAGGAAGGATCAGGGCCGGGTGTTAACCGCGGTTTCTTTGCGGCAATGGCGAATGCACTCAAAACGGATGAGAAGGTTGGATTAAGGATAACATAGTATTTTAAGATGCTTTGCCGTTGAGGGTTGATTAAAAGCCTCTTTGGATCCCCTTTTGTTTCTGTTCGATTTTATTGCTATATACCGAACGCGGATTTGCCTCATCGACTTAGGTATTAGACATCTTTAGATTTGAAGACGAGATTTAATTTAAATTTTTCTCGCGTCTTCTCAAAAAATATACTTCCCGGAAAGCTTCCTTGTACTTAACTTTTTATCACCAGAAAAGTTAGCAGAGTTCTTTTTATTGAAGGAGTCTTTGCCTTCTCCCTATCGCAAAATGATAAAACTTCTTACCGTTGGTAACTTGTTTCCGCCAGTGCGACATTCTCGCTAAATCCCGTAGTAGAATGACGACGGGTGTTGCGTTTTCCCGCTAAGTAGGTACTTAGTATGTAGTTTTAACTGTTGAGTCTGTGGATGAAAACCTATGATGTGACCATTCAAATGAAACCTCTTTAGCAGTACTTTCACCCGGTACTATTTGTTTTTCAGCATTTTTACAAAATGGAATTTAGAAATTTTGTGACATTTTGTGGGCAATTTTAGAAATGAAATGGCTGACGTAAATCAATTCATTTTCAGATTCCTGATGAAACTACCACTTTGCTACATGAACCGGGAAAACTACCAGAGCAAAGCGGCTTCTACGCCCCAACACCATTTGCCTACAACGAAACATCTGGAGCAGCCGAGAATCTCACGAAGGTAATGCGAACTTGTCACGAAACCTTTCCGAATGTACTTGTTTACTCACACGAAGGTAATGCGAACTCTAACGTCTCCATGTCATCTCCGTTTTGCTGCAGACTCGTCGTCTTAAGATGTTCACTGCTATAGGCCGATTCATTGGTTTGAGTCTGTGGTTTAGCAACACTGTTCCATTGAACTTCAGCAGACATGTGGTTAAATTCCTACTGGAAAGGTATTGGTTATTGTGGCTGTCATTTAAATATTTTAGCTCTAGATATGCTATCAGCTTTCTTTTGAAGCATTCAAGGGGCACTTTGTTGTTTCTGTTCTTCTTTTCGAATTGTGTCTTTTTTCCTTTGTATATGAATAATCTCCAACTTACACTTTGTAAGTCCAAAATTGTTTTCGAAGTTGTACCTTTGTATCGTCGTCTTCGTTTTTGTTTTGTGACGTTACTTCATCCCTAGGGACTCAAGTTAGAGCTCAGAGTTGTTTCTGACAAAATTTCCTCATCACTCTTACCAATTCAGCCCATTCTTACGTCGTTTAAAAGTACCCTCAATGAATTTAGTTTCCTGTCCCATGAGGACGGTAAATTCGCCTTTAATCTCAAAATATTCGCTTGGTTCTAAACATTTGCATCATACACTTGGCCTCTCCCTATTGTACGAAGCAAAGTCAACATCAATCATAATCCCTGCCAGGGTCCAGTTAGGCCGGTGACTAAAACCCCTTCCCCTCCCCCATTCATCTTCTAGTCACGTGACATGTCTCTTGTAGCGTAAGGCACCTAACAATTCCTATTGTACTCCAGTTCAGAAACAAATGTGGTCCTTAGTGCCATTTTTATTTTCCATTGTTTTACAGTTTCTTTTTATGATAGTGAAAAAGTCGTTATATCTTCAACTTTTCCTTTAGGGAGGTGACATGGGAAGACCTGGCTTTTTTCAATGCCGACTTGTTTGAGGGACTCAGCCGAATGATTCTTGATGGGACCCACCCGCTGATGACCCCAGAACGCTTCCAAGCAACATACTGCTGCCATTTTGAGGTATGAATTCGACGCAGACATCATTCAAATTGAACGAAAACTGTTTTAAGAACTCTTTATTTAGCCTCCCTGACTCCGAGCAACTTTTTCGTAAAAAAGACTACAAATCTCTAGACTTGGCTTCAAACTGTCCCTGGCCGTTGCTCCAAGCTAATCTAGAATCTAGCGATCGACGCCAAAAAGCGCGTTGATTTCGAAGGCCAAGCTCGCAAGTATCCAGAACGCGCCACGGGCTCGTCTGTAATGAGGGCCCTTGCAAGAGTTACGTCACTTTTGGAATAGCAAACTTACAACACAGGTTTGCTTTACAGGTGCACTGAGAATGTTTGTCGGGCTTGTTAAACGCTCGTACACTTTTCATAGTATTCAAGCCCAAGACGAATTAGTAAGTTCTCTCAGAACGGCTCGTCTCAGCGTTGCTGAAAAGTTGAAAAAGATCTCTTACTTGGCGTTAAATGTTGGCTTTTTTCTTTTCATGTTATTTCGTGACAGACCTCAGTCGGTGGCACTACCGAAGAGCTTATTCCTGGTGGTTCTCAGATTCCTGTAACCCCAGATAATATCTGCAAATACGTCAGGTAAGTCAGTAAATCAATCCTCTTAGAGATTGAATAAACAGCTGCTAACTGAAACAAAACTAGAAGCACTACTGAATTAGTGTCGATAGTATCACGCAGCCGTTTTTCGTCACACAACGCTCCTCTCGAAGTGGAGGAGGGGAGGGGTGTTGCGTGACGAGACAAAAACAGTTGCGTGGGAGGGGAGACTAGATATTACAGTACTAACGAAGTAAATTGAAGTCAATGCTTATGCAAAACGTTTGGGATAACCAAGAAGTATAGGACTATCATGGTAATACGAAATGGCCCTTATGTATGATTACGTCAGACGAGCAAATTTCCCCACCAAGCCACGTTTGTAAGCAAAACACTTTACATTTTCACTCTTTGGGCGTGAATGTTCTTCTCAACTGTTCTGCCTCGGAAATTCATTTATGAAAAATTTGGCAACATTTCAACTTCAAAACGACGCTTGGTGAAATTTGCTCTTCTGACGTAAACATTAAGAGTCATTGGTGAATAGCCTTGGAGTAGGAATGAAAGTTCGTGGCTGGATAGTTTTCCCCATGGAGTTACTTTGGTCTTTAAGGAAGGCAATGTATCATACTTTTTTACGATTGTGATTACTGGTTTGATTTTTTCAGGTTATACGCCACTAAAGTGATGTTTGGCTGCGTAGAAGATGAATTGCGCGCAATGAGAAGCGGTCTTCATGACGTCATACCGTCTGAACTGATGTCGTCTCTCACACCAGAGGACTTCCAGCTGCTTGTTTCAGGTGGAACAACAGATGTGGATATCAACCGACTTCGATCTGTAATCACATTCAGTAACAGTAATGGCTGCTCTGCCGATATACTGGAGCGATTCAAGAGGTAATGAAGATCCGCCGTGTTTCATTTCTTTCCTGGAACTCGGATGATTTGTAAACTGTTAATAAATGGATTCGATTTGCCATGCGTTAGATCACACGTCACAGTGTGATTAAGCCACAGAGTTGTAGCTCGTTTGTCCTAATGTTTATAGTTTGCAACTTGCACAACTGAGATATGGTTCTAAGGGCGCTTCAGTCATTTTGACAATGAAATATGCTTTTTCCAATAGTTTTTGCTGAAAAACCATCTCCTTCGTCTATATTATTAAAGATTTGACGGATCTGGTCGGATAGTGTTGATTAAAAGTGAAATTCTCATTACGACAGGAATGGTCTGGCTGGTCAGTTCAGCGTACTAAGTTATGAAAATTGCACACGTATTAAACAGACTTTATATCCCATGCTATATCTTAAGCTCCTCAGTACTCTCTCATAAACAAAAATCAATTGAAAAGGGAAGCAGTGCTTATGACCTCGAACCTCCTCACTTGGCCACCAAAGGTACACTGAATGTGTCAAAAGTCAACTGAAAACATGTAATTTTCTTTCCCTTCGTCAGGTGGTTCTGGTCAATTGTACAGAAAATGACTCCTCTTCAAAGGCAACAGCTGCTGTATTTTTGCACTGGTAGTGCTGTTCTACCCGCTCTATCTGATAGAAGAGACCCCGACCAAGGTATTGTGTTCATACTATTCATTGTTATTGAAAAGATAAACATGCTGCTGTTGCTATTATACTCATTCGTTGCTCTGTTCAATAAATGTAGTTTCCGCCTGCAGCACTTTTAAAAGGCGGTGTTACCGTTGTGGTTCACGTTTTGTTTTCCTTTGTGTCATTCTGAGAAAGGCATGGATAAAAATTGAACCACAACACAGCCACTTGCGACGCAGAACTTCTAAATAAGTGGCGATACAACGTTACGAGTTAAATCTTTAAGCATTAACTAAGCAAATCACTAAGAAATAAATTCAATGTGTCCATAGAATACATATTTAAGTCCACTCTTTCCGTGCGAAGTCATCCTGTTCTTTTTCCCGGGGTCTCTTTCGAACCAAATGAGTTCGAGTTCGCTACCTATATATTCGTCTCGCTGCCTTTTGGCAAAGTCCAAAATTTGCACCCTCGGAGGGTCAAGCTTAAATGAACGAGCAATTTATCACACATGTAAAAGATTTTTTTCTAGAGCGATTAAGGGAATATTTTCTATGGTTTACTGAAAGTAATATGTAGCGAATTTGTTGTGAACTAGGACGTAGCGAATTCGACAAGTAGCGAAACCGGTTGTTACCTTCCCACACGAATAAGATTGGGAATATGCCTGAACAATTTTTTTTTTCGCTTTTTTTTAGATTTGAGCATCACTGTAGAAGTCATTAGTGGCAATACTAAGGCGTTACCAATGGCAACCACGTGCGGTCAGCGTATGAGTATACCGCTCTACTCTTCCAAGAAAATTCTAAAGCGAAAGCTTCTTCAAGCTATTCAGTGTCAAAGCTACGGCTTGGGCTGAAGACTCAGATTTCTGTCATATAGATTTTAACCGTTTACCTCATTTTAAGTCTGTTTTGCAACGATATCAATCGAACGCTTGGTCGAAAACATCTGGATGAAGATGAGGCTCGCCCATGCGCATTATTTGTTTCCCACCCAGAAATCTAGTGAAATACCCAGGGACAGCGTCTAAAGGTTTTGTTGAACCAGTTTTATTTTAGTTCAAGAATGATGTCAGCACCTGTACTTGCAAGATCGTGTTCAAACAAGAATGTTTAGTAATTACCAGACATAAACGTTTAAGTTGTTATTGTCGATGTTCAAGAGGATTTGATAGCAACGCTTGTAAACACGACAATGGAAAATCCAAAACAATAGTTTTTCACCTAATATAAAAATAGTTCGTATTTGGTTTCCCGTTAATTCCCATTTCTGCCAATAGAAGCTACAGTGCCATTGTTAACAGAACCTTTAACAGTAGATTTTCTTGTTCGTAGAACTTTTGAACTTTCTTTAACCTCTTAGTTCTGTAAGTACACATGTCCTAGCATGAAATGTGAACAGTGGATCAGTGACTGATTATTTTATGTAAAGCTAGATGCCTTGTAAAGTTTAATTGTAGCTATGAAAAGCATCATCTGTAAGATGGAGTCCTCAAACTCGCTTATCGATCACGAGGAAAAGGTAGATAAATGAACCAATAGGGTACCCCTCAATGGCAGAGATCACCTCACGCGGATTGCTTCATGAATCTAACAATTAGCAAAAAATGCCATTCTATATAACGTTTTTTCATTGAATTTAAGAGAACACTCTTTAGAAACAGTAAATGCGGTAAGTGGTGTAGGAAAAAGACCACTTTTTACTCTCCGTTTGTCATAAACGTACTGCTTTGTTCTCTAAATAAATAAAGGAAATTACTACCGTGACGGCGACTTGTTACCAGATCCAATTACCACAAATCTTATAAATTATGGTCTGTCAGGCCGAGTAAAACGTCACAAAAAAGTGTTTCTTTAGGTATCCAGACACAACAAGGAGACGTTTTTTCGTACCCTCAGCAAAGTACTGGAATCAGCTTACAAACGAGGCTCGTGAATTACCCTCGATTTCAAGCTAACAGAAATAGGAAAATTGTTCATTGCGGTGGCAAACAACAACAAACACTCGTCTTTGCATTGTTTCTTTCTTAACATTCTTCTCGTTGTTTGGATATCTGGATGGAACACTCGCATTTGATGTACTGCTCGGGATTTTATTTTCTGTGTAGGGGAAAGTGTTTCATATTTACTTCTGTAAACTGAAAATTTTCAAAAAGAGTTCCACTGTAGTTACTTAATAAATTCAGTTTTAAGAAACGTCGTAAAACAAATTTGTGATTATTTTTAAAAAACTGCGTTTCATTTAAAGAACTCGCTTTCCAAGTTTTATACCCGAGTTGACACCTGAGTTCATACTAGAGTTTAACCTAAATTTTTAGAAAGTGTAGAGAAGTAGTATTAACCCACTAGACGCCGAAAATGTTTCTCAAATGTGTGGCTTCGTATGTTGACTCGCAGTTTTTAGAATAACAATCCAGGCATCATATGAAATATTGGGTCGGTGGATTCTCAAGTCCGAATACATGCGTTTCTTTAATTCTTTCCAAATCGCAGAAGGGTGCTCATTATTTTCGGTAATTTAACTTGTGCACGTGATCATCACCGATATATGCTGTTCGTAACCTCTTATGACCTCGCTCCCAGTCTCTTTCTTCTCTTGACCTGTTTCTTGGAGCGACAAGACTGGGAAAACCTGGGAATAGGTTAAGTGGCCTTTATTCCGTGGGATTCTCAAGGCAGATCGGTGAGTTTTAGAGGATTCTTATGGTGAGAAAAGTTTAGGAAGTATTCAAACTTCCCCCGGTAATCAAGGAAGAAAATTATACAGCAAAACAGCCTCGTTCGTAGGAGCTCTCTACTATTCATCCCAGCCCCTCTCAGTTCAGGGACGAGAGACCCTGGTCACGAGTTTGACGGAAATATAGCTGGTCCATTCATTCAAAGGACGATGGGCCATATTCGAATACAAAACTTTATTACAAAGCCATGTCAAGATACGATTCTGTTGCTGGGTACAGAATGGTTTAGATGGCAATATTTCATTAACTTTCAGTGACTGAAGAATTCTACAGTTCATTATTCGAAAGATTAGGCGCAGGTCGCCTCTCGCAGTAAAGTAGCTTGAGACTTCAACAACTGTTCGTCTCTTAGAAAACTAATTCAACTTTGGGAAGTGGTCAAACGTTCGGAGGCAGACAGGGCCTTGTTCCTCAGAAGAGGAGGTGGCATGCGCACTTCCGGACTCCTCTAATCCCCATATCGCCACTTTAGAAACGAGAAGGGAACTGGGCCGAGTTAACTTTCGCGAAGACTTCTGGGACTGTTACTGTGGACACAGAAAAAATTGGCCAATGGCTGACCGGCACTCTATGACCGGCACACCCCCAGTATCAATCCCAGAAGTCTTTGCGAAAGCAAACCCGGCCCAGTTCTTCTCGTTTCCAAAGTGGCGAATTGTCAAGCACCTCTGAGCGATACAAACTCTTGCACACAGAACGTCTAATTCTCATGTGACATTCAGGCCCCAGTTGTTCAAAAAGTGGATAGCGCTATCCAATGGATAAATCACTTTCCAGTCGACAACGCAATTAATTTTCTTATTACTTACTAACTGGATAGCAATCTATCCGGTGGATAGCGCTATCCAAATTTTGAACAATCGGGGCCAGGACTATAAGCCTTACTCATTTCAGGCTCATGAAAAAACGGCTATCTTACTTGGGTTTCATTTGAATACACTCTCCTTCACCACTTCCCTTAGCTGATCTACAACAGCCATTTTGTAAATTACTAGGCTAAAATGTATTTTGTTTTCTCAAGGATATCTAAAAGCGACTCACCCTAAAGTCCTAAAAGAGATCAGATTATGTGATAAAGTATTTTTGACCTAGGGAAGGGAAGGGACCCGCCCTTCCACATCGCCCTATTAAATTAAGTACCTCATTCCTTGATTTTACTAAAAAGCTCCAGTGTAGTGCTAATAGGTGCCGCTGCTTCATGTAAAAGCCTCGAATATTATTAGTCCTTCTTTCGTTTCCGCGTTTTGTCCAGACCTATAGATGCCATATCTATGGTCAGTTCTATCAGACGTTTTGCGTCCATATTCTTGTTACACAAAAAAATTACTTATCCCGTTGAAGAATACTGGGTTATAAACCTGTCACATTCCTTTCAACTACAAATGAGAACCTTTTTTCCTTTAAGATATTGGAGAGTAGACATCAGATGTCTATAACAAACAATAGTTCTCGTTAATATAGTCTTCCAGTAGACGTTATTTCCTAGGTCCACTCTTCCCTGATAGAAAACGTGACTTCCACGTGACAAACTGACATGCGAGCCTTAGCTTACCAGCATTGTGTCAACGCCCAAATAACAGTGCAAATAGCAGGACAGGTTGAAGAATGCTTGCCTTCTTGCAATATAAATACTTTTATGAAATTTAACAAAAAATAATTGCTATCAATTGTAAATTGCTCCAAATTAATTATTCCATGTGTTCTACTTATTCAGTGATAGTAGCCACCTCCGCCGTAATAGTTGCCGTTGTCTCCGTACCAATCATGCCCCTGTTGATATCCACTCTCCATCTCATTACCGTACTGCTGATATCCCATGCTTGAATCATGATCGTAGTAAGGGTCGGGGTACTGGTGTTCATTCGTGTACCCGTGGGAGTAACCCTGATTAAGGTCCTGCCCATACTGTCCGTAATCATATTGGCTGTCTTGACTATACTGTTGGTTGTATCCTTGCTGGTGATAAGACTCAGTGGAGTAACCCTGCTGGTGCCCATACATTTCAGCCCCGTAATTTTGCCCCTGATCATAATATTCCTCTTGAGGGTAGTACTGTTGTTGTTGCTGCTGCTGTTGGTCATATTGCTGCATCTCCGAGCTATAAGCTGCTTGGTAACCAGTATCGCCTTGGTACGTTTTTGGTTTCGTCGTTTGAGTACTTTGGAAAGCTTCGTGCAGTTTTTTGCCGAAGTCAGGTGCAGCCCCAGTTACCGCCATCTTCCTACGTGATCCACCCGAGTCTTGAACCTCAGACGATCCTTGTGCGCCTTGTTGGTTCTGTGTTTTCTGTGTCAAACTCGTCGTTGGAACCTGTCATTTAATCAAATTTAACTGAATTACAAGAGATGTCTTAGGTTGGCTCGCGGCTTCCTCCTGTTTTAGCACTTATTCTTTCTGATGAATCAATATCACCATCCTGTGTCAATTGTTGCTACGATAAATCTACTCACTGATAAAGAACGTATGGCTACTCTCAAGACGAAGTAGGATTCCATATTACAGTACAATTTTGTAGCTGTTCACAGACCCTCTATTTTCTCTTCAAAGTCCGTCGAGCGGGCGTACTAAAATATAAACCGCGCGGGATTTATTGACCGCCAGCGCAAGGGGTAAATGATTTTTCTTTCTCGCGCGAACCCTCCGTGGACCCTTTTATTCGAATTTGAATAACAGCTAAAGATTTAACTTTTTACAAAGTTTAAAATAATTATTTGGAGGAGTGTAGAGTCGCCTTAAATTGACGAACTTTTAAGGTGGCGCTAAATCTCAACCTAAATCTGAATCTCAAATTGATGTCGAGACTGGATTCCACAATATGAAAAGGGGCCACCGAACTTGTTATTGAATTGAAAACTGTCAAGACAAAAATTAAGCGGTTCAAGATGTCGCTACAGAAACTGCCGGTATTAGGTCATGCGAATTACCATACCTCTTTCATGAATGATTTTGCATTTGATTAATATCATCATCGTAACAATGGTAACATTAAAAAATATGTTTGCTCAAAGAAGGTGAAATCTGTTTTGCTGTCACTTTAAATGACTTTTACCTTAGGACGTAGGTTTACCTTTTTTCGTTGTGTCAAGTTAGAAAGCTCTCAGAGATGTTATGAAATCGATTCAGCCTTGGTCTTAACACCTTTTGATTTAGATTTGGCCAATCTCAGCCTTAACAAAAATGAGGTACTTACAATTTAGACAGGAAAACCGGAAATTCCGGGCGCCATTCCGTTTGGGAGCTTCAGAAAATATAGTCTGTGATTTAAGGCGACGCAATTTTTCTGTTCGTTTTAGCCTGTTCAGCTAATTTGCGCATACGTTGTAGCGGGTCGTTCTCCACCAAGTCAAATTTCATAGATTTATTTTTATGCACAAGATTTCCACCCGGGTGGTTTGTGAAAATGGTGAACACCCATGGTTACCTTCGTTCCTGGGACGTTAGAAACTCCTTGAAGCAAAGGCGTCTTTTCCGTTAGAGGTAAAGCACCATCTTCTTTGTCACTTGGGTGCAGGTCTCTCCAGTACTGGTCAAGAAACTCCCCGAGATGCTCACAAGCGTCTTCAAAAATGGCCTCATCAAGAACCAAGTCAAACATTTCCTGTGTTAAACAGAAGAGTGAAGATAACACTAGCTATAGGAAAATTCACTACTTGTATCTAACAGAGACCTGTCTGGCACTGAACTTGATCAATTTGCCAACGGTTGTCTCATACGCACAAAAAACCCGAGTCTCTACTGACGCACTCCTTTCCCTTCGGTTGTCACACCAAACTCCTTTCCAAGGTATTTCAGGTAATGTTCACACTATTCTGGATGGCTTTTGCACTGGCATGAAAACCATATCGGATAGGGCCTCTGTTCACACATACAACGGTGTTTTCGGGGCGATATCTGTAACAGAGTAAAGCTGCGCCAGGCCGATCTCTTAAGTGGAGAGTCACATATCGGATAGGTGTTAACAATATACGGTTAGTTGTTCCACAGGTAGCCCAAGCTCGAAATATGAGCATCGACATTGTTGCGTAACATTCGAAATACATGGATTTTTACGGGAAAAAGAACCTATCGTTTCTGTTACCTACAAAAATGAAAGAATTTCAAGAAAAAGAACAGCTTACCTTACTTAAAACGTGTGTTACGTCTCTCCTGTGTAGTCCACAGGCCGATTTATGATCGTTTTATGGGTTTTTATGTAAACGGTGTTCTCTCTATATATCCGTCGGGCCGCGTCGCTGGTGTCCCCAACCTTGGTAAACCTTATGGAGAGAAAACCGTTTACATAAAACCCATAAAACAGCCATAAATCGGCCCGTGGACTACACAGGAGAGACGTAACACACATTTTAAGTAAGGTAAGCTGTTTTTTATTGAAATCCTTTCATTTTCGTAGGTTACAGAACGATAGGTTTTTTTCCCATACAAATCCTTATATTCCGAATGTTACGCAATAATGCCGATGCTCGCCGATGCTCATATTTCGAGTTTGGGCTACCTGTGGTTGTTCAAGTGGGCACGAAAAGCTATCTGGTATAGTGTGAACATAGCGTGAGATGTAGCTTTGTGTGACGAATCTGTAGCGTTGTGTGACCAATATGTAACGTTGTGTGACGAACGAATTTCGTTGTATGTACAGTTTTAATGAGTTACTGACCTCGTTGCACTGTGCAAGCTTTTGAGCGGCTACCACTTGAGCTCCTAGGTTTTTCCTTTTGGATCCACGTAATTTGACGAGTTTTTCCAGAATTTGTGGCTCCATTTTGATGTAGATCGATATTGGCGCCAGCGAGCAGTCAGTCAGCTGAGAGGGATGGTTGATGACGTCACAATCGATAACCACCATGTTCAAACTTTTGGTCAGTTCATAGATCCGCTCTACCTCTTTTTGCACTTCAGCTGTGTGTTTAAGAGAATGATTAATCTTTAATTAATCTTTTACATCATGTCATTTAGTGACCATTGAGTTCAGTATCTCCAGTGACCTTCTAGGCGCCCTGAACACTCACCATTCCTTTTATTTGGTTTCATCAAATGAGTTCATAAAGTAGACTGGCGATCGAGAAGCTTACGTTTTGAGTAACCTGTTTACAAGGGGGGCGGCGGCTGAACACAGGCGATCTGAGGACTGAGGGCCGGGGTAGCGTCCGAAACGTCAGTTTCTCAATCCTCCTACGGTTGCTATCGTAACAACCAGTTTCTTTAGAAAGTAAACCCTTCACTCAAAATTCCTCTACCTCGCAAGAATATCAGGAAAACATTTTCAGCTTCTCAGGGGAAATTGATAGAAACAGGCTTCCCATTGAGGAAGGCAAATTACCTTGCAAGGGTAATTTCTGCAATATAGGCTTGCTATTTGAAACATTTTCTACTAATTCCATTGAGGTTTTTAGCGGTCTCACTGAGCCTTTCTTTAAGCAAAGCAATATTGCACATTAAATGGCAGATCTTCTTTGTTTTGATAGCCAGTCTATATTTCTCACCTGTCATTCGAGGCCCTCCAGTCTTTGCGATGTTAAATCTTTCTTTTTCTGAGGGATTATTCTTTGATCGTTTGGACAGGCCAATATCCGCATGTGTTCTGTACACTTGGATCCTATCATAATAAATTAGTACTTGATTAACCCTTTTCAACCCGTTTCTCCAAAACTCTCCTTAAATGAAAGCATCAACGAAAGTGCTGCCGACAACGTCGACGACAACAAGAGCGTCACAAAAGCAATAGGCTGCGCCTGCAGCACGCTTTTTACTTTTGTTTATTTGCCGTAACTTCACGACTACAGCTGCGTGGAAACGTACGCAACATTTTTGACTAACAACTCCCAACATTGTTGGGAGTTCTTGAGTCCGTTTGCACATGCCTAAAAGTTTGGCCGGTTTCAAACTTTGCGCAACAACTCCCAACAACAGGCAATGACATGAAACAGGGTGTGCAAAAGGAACCAACAATTACCAACCAACAATATTGGGAGTTTTTGGCCAACAATGTTCCGTCCGTTTGCACAGGGCTTTTCGACGTAAACACAGATGCCTAATTTCACGTTTTACAGTGGACGCAAACGAGCCACGACGAAATCCTCTTTCTCTTTCTGAAACTGGATACCGGTTCTTAGGAAATGAACTTCAGGGAAGTTCACCTACATTTGACAAAGGTGGGATGGAATAATCGCAATGAAGATTGAAAGAACGCTAATTCTCTTTTTAGCGACGATATCACTACCAGTCGCTGTCCTCGGATCTTAAAGCCCTTAATACCTTCACGACGACCGTCACAAAAAGAAAGTCTAATCAATTATTATCTCTATCTGTTAAATAGTGTAGTAGGTATAAAAAGTTAGTTATTGCGTTAGTGTATTTGCTGTAGTTTAGTTTAGTTGCTCTTTATTAGTTGATATAGTTTGGTGTAGTTTTAGTTTGTATTCATGAAGAGGTCCACTAGTCGGTGTAGCTGCGAACTACACACAGACCATCAAAACTAAACCAGCTACATGTACAAGAAATTAAAGCAACTACGCTAAACTACTCTATAGTAAGTAAGATATATAGCGGACAATTGTGGGTAAGTCGCGTGTCCTGATTATGCTGTGATTGGTCGTATTAATAGACAGTCCTGATATATTTCAAGTGTCCACGGTTTTGTCGGTTTTATTTGAGGGGTGGAGGGGTGTAGAGCCACCTTAAATTTTCGGGCAATTAGGGGGGTTCTGAATCTCAACATGATGTCGAGACATTAAGTAATGATCATATAGCAGACTATTGTTTCGTCCCTTATGTATCCTACCCGTGTATTCAGTACAATGAATATCCTGCCAACTGAACAGCAAGACAACAACAAAGGAACTTACTTTCCACTAAATCTCTTCTTTAAAAAGTTATACAGGGCTCTGTGCATGAGGTCAGTAACCTGGGAAAGTCGAAACAAATAACAAAAAAATGTTAGTTTTAGTTTATCAAAAGCGCAAAGTTTTAGAGTGGCCATTCGCTATAGCATTACCACCATAAAAGCTCGAGAAAGGCTTAAGATTGCAAGCTGACTGTTCCCGATCCATCTAAGATTTTTGGAAGTTTTCTACTATCTTTCCCCACAACTTTCAGGACTCTGGGTTACGTTAAATTAGGTATTTTGCACCTTTCACCGCCCAGATTTGGCTTTTTACCAGTAAGAAAAAAAAACCCCAAAATTTCTTGGTTTAAAACTGAGGACAAAAAGAGGAATCAGAAAATCTTACGTTTTCAGCGTTAAACTTAAAATAGCATCTTAGATTTTCGGGAAAATAATAAGAAATCCTCCATAAATTTTAAATTACCCTAGGATAACCAAATAGATCCGGCTATAGTGTATTTGTTTTGCAAGGCTTTAGAAGCATTCTATTTAGCCTAAAACAGAGTTTGAAAGCTTAAGAAGGAAAGCAATCATTGGGTGTTGGCCTGTGCACTTGCTGATTGGTTGTTTGTCTGCTTATTTGCGAAGAAAAAAATGGCACGCGAGGCGTACTTATCGTTCCCTGAATTTCCACTAACTTCTCTACGTAAACAGAAACGTTGTTGCTTTTCAGTTTTCACTTACCTCGTATCCTCTAAGTGAAGGACCTATCACAATGATAGGTCGAGTGGCCGGTACGACTTCATACGGCGGAAAAGATATCTCGCTCGATGAACTCATCGACCCCTATGACACAATAGAGACAAATTTAAAAACACGGAAATAACGAAACAGACAGGCTGACACGAGTGTCAGTGTGTCTTCATTCAGTGTCGCAACAGCAGCACAACAGATTGGGACTTCTCAGGCCCCGCTTTAAGGAGAAAACTTGACCCAGGAAAGAGGATCACCCTCTTCAACTTAATAGAAAGCGTTTATATGAGAAAAAAGTTGACTCACTCCTTGGCTCGAACCAAGAGCTGATAACAGCGCTCGCGCATGCTCTGATTCAGCTACAGCGTTTTTGAGCGACGGACGTCAACCGGAAGTGGCCTTTTTGCATCATTGGGTTGTGGATTGGTTGAAACTCTTCGGTAAATCATCTTTATAAGAGAAAAGAAAGCTAGCAATACAGATTTGTTAGCGTCAAGGAATATAGGAAGGGCGAAGGCTTCACTTCCGGTTTACATGCGTCGCTCAAAAACGTCATTGCTTAAGCTCCTTTGTCGCCATGACCGAGTTGACGCGGGTGTGCGAGCCATGTTTATATGGAGAAAAGTTTGCCTGGTTAGGATGGTAATCACCCTATCATCGAAAAAAGGGTGGCTCAGCTAATTTCTAGGCGGGTAATCCTTCTAGCCGAGCCAATTTTTTTGTTTCTCCCAGGGTAGCTCGGTTAGGCGAGTGACCTCTTCTACCTGACACAAGTTTTCTCCATATAAACAGGGCCTCAGATGGCAACCATTCAGTCGAAGTCTTTAGAAGGATTTTACGCTGCTAATTCGATTGAGGTCAGCGAAAACATTCTCAGTTCTGGCAAGAGATCGATCGTTCGAGAGACAAATAACTTATATGGATTTTGGCTTTATCTATAAACGTTTACATTCCAGTTGTCAGATTGCATAAACTACCAATATCACAACCTTTCCTAGGCCTTCGATTATTGATAAATCAGTGGAAATCAGTGGACAAATATACAATACTGGCTGGAAAAATGTCATATACAAATCGAGAAAAAAAATCATGAAAGTTTAATCACGGAAAAATCCCCGCATGTTTGTACTTCTGAGTACCGTTTAGGAACAAATGTTTCACATGCCAAAAAATTCTCTTAACAAGAAATTTTATACAGCATTACCTGGAAGGCAGGCAAAAAGTTATATGAAACTATAGTTTTCTCCTTAGCTGGGCAAAATATAAATTAGGTACATGAAAGACAAGCCTAGATCTTAGACAAATCCTTCGTACTATCCAGTTTAAAACGCGTGCTACAAAACTTCAAATCCCCAGGTTACTGAAACTACAGGCTGATGACTAAACATAGATTGTGATACCGAAGTAAGTCCAGTTGGATGAAACCTACCCAGTACGTTCCAACGGATTGTCCGCGTGCTAACAAAGGTTCCGAAAAGCTTTCTCCTAGATGCTGTAGAGCGATTCTGCTCTCACCTTTTTCATTTTCGCATCGCGAAAAAATTCGGCTGGTTGAGAAGTTAAAAGATATTTTCCTCAGAGGAAGACACGAGGCACGCATTATACTCATTCTGAACATGGAACAGACTAAGTTTGCCAATGATGTCTAATTCATGCATGTTTTCCTCGTAAAAAAAACTCGTAGGAAAAACATCAGTTTACTGAAATAAATGGACTACGTGTTTAATTGAATTAAAATTGCGAAAAAGTCAAGAGCAATTTAACTCGTCTGTCGACCAATGGAGAAAGAATGCTCTTCAGACTTAGTTAATGGCTTCTCCGTAGAAAAAGCGTCAAAATGCAATTACTGAAATTAAAACCAGGCACCTTTTCATTGGGTCGCAGTTTGAAAGAGTAAAAATAGGTGATCCAACCTTTTCAGTCTGAACTTTGTCGGAAAAAAATCTGCTGATACAAAGGATGTTGTTTCTTCTTTTCTTGGCTAAACCACGCTTGGGGATTATTAAATCTTCCATCAATATCCCGTCTTAAAAATGTTGTTCGTTTTACAAGATAAATTCCTTTGAATAATTAAACGGTTTGAAGTAACAATAGCTCTGAATGTTAACAAAGAGATAATCCACTAATCTTGGGGTATATTTTCCCAAAATATTTGAAGTACAAATTCTTCACACATGCGTGGAATTGGAGATTGTCAACACACAGTTTTTAGAAAAGATTTGATGGCTTTGCATATCGTCAGTTAGGTCTGAATGTTTTAATTGCTTAGTAAAATGATTGGTCTTGCTTTCAAGGAGTTCTTCAAATTTTGTAAATGACATGAAATATTAAACTGTACAAGTGAATGATGATTTTTTGGTTCAATTCAAATGTTAGCTGGACTCAAACCTGGCAGATAGCTGCAGTATATGTTTTCAAGAAAGCGATGAAAAATGAGGCAGCATTTTATTTCGTTAACTCCAGATTAAAACTGAAAACTTGCCCCATTTATCTGCGATCATACATTCTGACACTTGGTTATTATGTGTCTCAAGGTATCCACTGGCACTTCAGTTGAACAGATAATTTACTTTGCTAAACTTTCCAAGATAGTTTAATTTTATTGTCTTTCTTGCGAACTTGAGGACCTTAACTTGATGCATATATGAAAATAATCGTTTTTCCAGTTTAAGTCTTCAAAAGCCAGCACAAGAACAACGCAGCCGATTACTATATGAGCTTCATGACACATCATGGAATCAGTGTTTTTATCATAAAAGACAAGCACGCCTACACACGGTGGATTCCATTGATAGTGTTCCGCAACTAGAATACACAAAAGTTAATTTGTTACAAATTTATTCTACCATGATTTTTGGACCTCTTAATTATTTCAAGGAGATTTCCAGATATTACAATTGAATAATTCTAAAACAAGTGATTTCTATAGTTTATTCTTAAGCTTTCTTATATTGGGATAGGGTCAATGGAAAATGCCCACAGTTTCCTTGTGTCATGAGACAAGATATTTCTCTATTCTTCCCAGGGATTTCTGGGCTCCTACTGTACGCTGTTTTGAAATACGCAGTAGGCCTGGAAACAAGGCAATGCAGTGTACTTGCATGTAATAAATTATTAGGAAGAGAAAAGAAGGTTGATACTCACGTTATTAAGACCTGTACGTGCATATTAGAAAGATTTCCATAACAAAACACCCCAAAGAATTGCTTACCCGAAAATTTTATTTATACTTTCATTCTTCAATCAGGCCGCTGTTTCGCGATTTATTTACAGTTCAACACCATACCATGTATTTTCAAATAGAAAATTGAATTGCATCATTCCGACCCTTACAAGTTTTACACTTTTCTCGGCTAAAAGCTGGCTACATAAATCTATTTGGAACTGCAAGAGATTCATAAATTTAGCACTCAAAGTACAAATGGAACATTAATTTTTAATTGACAGCGGGGGCAGCGAAAGTTTTCGTTTCGAATTTCTTCTATGTACTTAGTAGTTTTGAGATTTGCTCTATTCTCCATAAAATGTAAGAAACTTAAAATTGTCTTACTAAAAAATAGGTAAAATCCTTTTCAGTCAGGAGGACAATCTGTCCCAAACTTCCAGTAGTTATATTAGAAAAACGTTTTGCACTTCCCTAAATTGTCATTAATTATCTTTCCAGACAAAAGCAAACTGAAGTGTGTTTTGAATGTGATGGTCAGTTAATTGAGTTTTTCATATTTCATTTGATCTGCAAAACGTAACATGTCTATTTTATATGAAGTTGAGGACTGCAAAAATTTGTGAATGGTTACGCGGTTAAATTGTTGACAAAATATTTACTGTTCAAATGTAATTAAGTGATTTTGAAAACCTATTCCTAGAACATTCTAAATCGCGCCAAAGCAAGAATATTTGTGTTATTCAAGGAGCATTTATGAACATAAGACATGTTTGTGGTCAGGAATTCCCCCTTACAATAATATAAATATAGGAACTTCGGAATGGAGGTAACAACTTTTTACGCAAGAAAAATGGAGAACGTGGGTTACGTGTCTTAAGATTGTCTCCAAAGTAAATATGTCGAAGCTTGTGTAAAGCAAAAATTTAAGACTCGGTAAAAAAGTGAACTTCATGCTATTTTTAAAATCTATCAAAAACAGTGGAAATTACCTTTGAATACTTGTAGTTCCTGGAGAAGAAGGCTTTGGGTCTAACATTAGCGATACCGATAATTTTATGCATTCCTGACAGAACATTAGCTTTCATAATTATGAAAAATTGTTGTATCTTTGCGGAAATGAAGAACAAAAAAACCGACCAAGAAACGATGGAAGATATAGCAGCTAGCAATTCGTCCAACTTTTTATGATCTACTACCCTAAAATCTGAAGTATATTCGTTCTTCGCGACAGTGGTCCGAAAAAGCCTTCGATTATCTTCGGAGAAGATCGGCAAAAAGTTTTCGCGAGGGGGAGGTGTCATGATCTGAAAAAATTCCCGAGCATTTACAAGGTTAATTAATTTCCTTCAGTTCAAAGCATATGTTCTCATCTGTAACTGTGTTCAATTTCAATGCTTAAAGCATATTCATACCAGCAGAAAAATAACTGTAGTGGAAAGATACGTGGATATAAAAATAAGTGAAAGAAAAATGTGTTTTGAAATATGCTGTAAATTGTAGAATATTAAAATAGTCTAACGCAATGTTCCGATTCTGTAAATTACAAGGTCAACATAATATTCAGACAAAATAGGAGTTCTAGTAACTTTTCCATAGATAAATTTGCAACTTACATTTTAGTGTCAAAATATTATCAGAGAGAGGTCGATGAACTGGTAAGTCTGTGGATAACGCGAAGTATTACTCAAAGATATAGGATTTCAATCTTTTTGAAGTACACAAAATTGAACTTAAGGTTTTTAGCTCTTTTCTGTGACACTGCCCATAAAATTATTTTTAATTCTTCAGTGTTTAACAGTGGAATTATCGACCCTCTAGATAAAATTAAGACAATCTCAATAACTGCAGAAATGCTGTAAAAAAAACTTTACCAATCGCAAGACTCGACTATACAGAAAATTTTTGGAAAAATAGATCTTCCAACAGTGGCATGACAACCACTTATCATGGGTGTAGAGTTAAACTACATTCCCTACGTATGATATCTAGGTCAAGACACGTACCCTATAGGGCGGAACATTTTTGTACAGATTATCCATGTGACTGTACTCTCCCTTAATATTCCCCCTAAGGCGATAGTCCTTACAGCAAGACATGTTGGCTATGTAGCTGTCGCTGAAGCCAGTCCCTGAAGCATTGTATCTGCAGTACATTTGTATGTAAACTTATGCACACGTTATTTATTCTGTAAACTTGGCCTTGGCAAAGTTGTTATGCCTTACAAGGTTATAGACGATTTCAAAACTAAGATACACATCTATTCACGTGGTTACAAACAAGAGGTTCGGTCACCCACGCTAACCTTCCTTCAATTACTTTCTTCAGTCGAAGCACGTACTCCGTGCCTAAGTTAACTTTATTAATTGAGTTTATCTGTGTTTCGACAAATTGCAATGACAATTTTTGGATAAAAATAGCACAAAATCGTCTCATAATTTTGCCTTGAGCATACTATATGTAAATCCGTTGTTAGATACTTAAGTTCCTTCCGACCGCTCAAAGACTAGTTTCTAGTTACTGTTGCGAAATTATTAAAGTACAAATAAGACTTTACGAAATGTTTGAAAACGAATATAACCCACGATAGTCAGGACAACAGAAAGACTGAAACTATTGTAATTATGCGTTGCAATTTTTCTGAGCTTTTCAAATCGTTTTTTTTTTGTCTGTGTACACCCACTAAACATCACAAATATTATTTTTTAGCTCGCGGTAAATTATTTAAACGTTTTTTTGTCGCGCAATAGCTTCTTCATTGAGCAAAATTTGTCAGGAAAAACGAAGCGGGTGTTATTAGAACAGCAACAACAGGAAGAAAAAAGCGTCAGTATTTTCCACATGACAATCGCCAGAATTTGATTACAGATCTGAATCACATTCGCAACGTATTGCATATGTCTTCTGAATGCGTCGTCTGTAGTGAAATACCCTAAGGTGGTCTTTATCGATTTTACTGAGCTGTACGTCGAAATTTTATTTTAACAAATCAAAATAGAATAAGATGAATGCCTTAATGACGATCACGAAGTTGTTGGTGATTGAGTAAGAATAGCCGAATTATCATTCTTAAATTGAATGTAAGTATTAAGATAGTAAATCACTGTTTCAAAGAGACCTGTCTTGTCTGATGCTAAATTAAATTATATTTAAAGCTGTGGCGACGACTGTGCCTTAAGAGATAAAATGAATCTTGAACACCTTCCTTGAAATATCTTTAAATAAACTTCATTTAATTCAGGGAAAGTGAATGTAACATTTGGCGATAAACGATCTGAAGAAATATAGTAACCAGGAACCCTTATCAACTTTCTTATCATAAGAGTAATGTGAATGTAATATAATGTTTCTGAGAAAAGATAGAATTGACTTTAACACGCTTCTACTGTGAAGGCCAAGAATGTGTTCTAAAACCGCTGGATACCAAATGCTTTGTTTCAGCTCCCAGAAAACAAATTTGACATAGTGATGCTCGAACAGATTTTCTTAAGACCTTTTTAACCTTGCCAGAAATCAGTAGGAAACTAACCTGATGTTTTTGTCTAGCAAAAGCTCGGAATTCCTCGTCGCTCATGGCTACTTGATCTTCGAAATGTGATTAAGTTTAGTCGATTTCGTCTCATGAAAATTCATAAGAAACGTACTAATTTGCCACAGAAGGTTTAGCTGCTCTAATTTGATTTTCTGTTTTTGTGACGTAAGCATGATGTATGGTTCAGTAACTATAACACAAAGCAAATCACACCAAAAGAGAGGCCTTTAAACTCTCAAAAGAAAAAACCTGTATTGAAAAAATATATATCCTTCAGAAAGTGTTTTTTACTTGCTACTGAGATGAATTACAGTCTTTGTGATTAAATCAACAAGTTAGTTCAAACGCACATTGCTTTCCTCAGTTCCTTTTAAAAATAGCTTGTTTTCGATACAAGACCCCCTTTGGCTTAGCCTAGAAAAGTTAACCTAAATTTCCATTCTTCTGTCCTTTCCCATCCATCAAAACCTTTAAACAAGTTAGTAGAGTTATTGACTAGGTCTTTCAGATCGAGTTATTTAAAAGAAGCGGCACTTTGTTCGTTAGTCGGCTCTGAAAGAACATTATTCGCGCGAAACACCTGCGATTCTTATGAACAAAGCCTCATTGCGTTTTCTCTTAGACTTCACCAATTTACCCCTGGATTGGCTAATAAATGCAAATTCGAAGAAATTGTTTTCTTTCTTACTTAGTAATTTGTAACGCTCCCAGCTGGGCCTGATTCGGTGGCAAATCAAACTATTTTTTGGTTGCCAATAGGAACGGCAAGCACAGCTGAAATCGGAATTTTTCCTAATCGAAACCGAGTATGTTAATCATTTTTACACTTCGCAAAATTATGAACACGCCTGACGTTTTTGTTTTCGTTTTTTTTTTGGATTACATATTCTAGCAAAGAAAACTTGATATCAAACAACACAAATGGTTAAATTCTGTAAACTTCTTAAGTTCCAGCTTTTAAAATATAGCTTTTTAATTACGTAATATGTAAACTGGATCAAGCTAACCACAATGACTTATCTAAAAGCCAAATTTTGTAAACAAATTTTCGCCAAATTTCACTGTCCATTTTGAGTTCATTACATCCGTCATTGTTCAAGGAGACGAAAGGCCACCATTTCACACAAAAAAATTAAAATAAGGCTTTTTGGGGGGATAAATAACGAATTAGACTGGCGAAAAAATTTGCAGCGAGTCAATAGTCGATATATGAAGTTGTTGCTTTGTTATAGATAGAAGGTGAAAACATTCTGATATTCAGATTCATAACAATGTTCAATCGCGCAAACAAGCATTTTATTAAATGGCTATAACGTCCACATTTGTTGTCCGTGTTCCTGTTACTGAAAATAATGCAACGACACTTATTTTGCCTCAAAGTCTTGCAGATATTGTTCTCTATATAAGGTGAATTTTATTTCGGAAAAACTGTTTTCTTTTTTCACTTGCAAAAGCCATTTTTAACGAAACAAGTTATAAACTGAAATCGCAATACCTTGGTACTTCTTAAAGGTTACACATATTGAAGCAAGCGAAAGTAGCGCTTTCCAGAGAACAAATTAGGAGTAAATACTCTTAAGCGTAAATTGGGTTCGACATATTTTTAGAAACAGAACTCTCATTACTACATTTGCAGTTCAGATCTCGAAGTCATTTCAGCATTCGAAATAAAAAAAAGTGGGCTGATTTTAGAAGATTTTTGACAGTGCAGTAAATAAGGTTCGTTTTGCTTTTTCGTTTTCACAGACTAGATGCACCTGAAGTTAGGTTTATTTGCCGTACAATCAGTTCCGGCTTGTGGTTCTGTTTTATATTTTGATTTTCACTAGAGCATTTTGGCACGGTGGGTGACATTCAAATGAAGTGAATTTAGCGGCTTTTTATTCGAAGTCAATACGTCGACGATTTTTGTAGATCCTGCGTAATCGGTCTCATACTTTAGTACTGTTTTTTTCTTTCTTCGTTCGCATGAACGGAATTTTCTAGAACTTTTGATTTGCTTATTATCCTTGACAACTCTTATATTTAAATACTAGATTTTAAATAACAGGATATCTTGTCAAAGTCTTACCCGTCTACCGATTAAACTTCTTTTCTGTGTCGTTTGGTCGAAGCCTTCGAAGGCATTTGCTGCCATGGAGATCATTGTCGTGCCCTTGATTGAAATTCCAGGCTATGCTACGAGAAAGTAATATTCATTCCAGTCTTCAATTCCCCTGTAAGTGCTACTAAAATGAAGTCACTAGCTCCGACATGTTGTTTCTGCGAAATTCGCCGATCAACGCCAACTAACTGCAGACATCTGCTACTTTTATAAAAATTAAATATTCATGACGCCATCCAATGTGGGGGGATTTTCTTGTTGTCATTTATTATGACTCTTAGAAGTTTGATGCCTCGATTTAAATTGCCAAAGCGATAAACCTCTCGACTCGTTCATTTGTTTCCATTTATTTGTTTGCCTTAAGGAAAGCCGAAATCGTTTTTATAGTTAACACTCAGTCAGACTTCGAATTTGATGCTGCATCGAAGAAATGCAAATAAACTCAAATCATTTACTTTCCGTATTGACTATTTTATGACTGTTCATAAAAAGAGTGTAAATTCTGACACGTCAAAAAAATTCTTTTTAGATGTAAGCAAACATTAAAAAAACTGACAAGCGAAACTTAAATTTCGCTTCCAAAATTTTCTTCATTTTTACTTGATCGATTATCACCATAGGCGATTCCGTTAATTTGCATTCAGAATAAGTTGTGTCGTCAAAAGTCATACCAATTGATCTTCCTCTTTTTTCAAAAAAAGAAACTCTTGGGTTGCTCAAACAATGTACTGTCCCTGAAATTGATATCTTAAGTGATTTTCCTCAATTTTACGCAACATATTTTTGGCACTTGTTTGCCCTAAAGTCAATTTCAATTGTCAGCCATGAATCAAATTTGGTTTTAAAATTGACAGAAAATTCAGGATCTTTTTAAGTGATATTTCGTTTTTGTTTGAATTGATGATAAATTATTTACAGGTTACAATAAAACGGCAAATCGTTTAGGAGTGCGGTTAATATTTGTTTCTAAAGCTTTCCATCCTGGGTACCAGTTATTTTCAAGTTCACAAACAATAACTTGCCAAATTTTGTTTCTAATACTTATTTGTCGAGGTAAACCGAAACAAGCGAGTACTCTTGGTCGGAAGGTTTGCGGCATATGTCTGGTTTATGCAACGCTAAAAAGGTGGTGAAGCAATGCTAGCTATTTGTGAAATAATAGTAACATAAAAGCTAAATTGAGAAGGAACAATTGAAGAGGAAGCGCAAAACAAAAATATATGTAAAAGTCGTAGGACTGAAGATCAGGTTAGCAGGGAAGAAAAAAATTCGCAAGGTTATTTTGGACATACCGGAAACATTCTTTTTTGGAGGGTGGTGGGGGGGGGGGGTTGGGGTCCCTAGCGCATTATATGGGGGAAAATTCGCATTTTTTTTTGGGGGGGGGTTACATGAAATATCAAAGTAGTTCATCAACGGGTTGGGGGCAGTGGCGGATCCAGGGGAGGAGCAGGGGGGGCCAGGGTCCCCTGGTCCCCTTATTTTTATACCAAACTGAGGCCCTAAGGTTGGAAAAGTTTTTTTTTTCTCATCTCAGGGTCTGGATGACCGCCTTCCCCGTTATCTTGAAAACCTGGATTCGCCAATGGGGGTAGGGGTGGATAGAAAGTTCGGCTCTCCTGCTCTATGTGTAGATTTCAACTTTCTTCAGTTATAGTGGGCATTGATGTGATGTGGTTTCTCTAGATCTGATTAAAAAACGTCAGTTTGCTTTGGGTTATCCTTAATCACAAAGTCAAGGTCCATAAAAACGCGAAAAAAGAAAAACAAACAAAGAAAACGAAAAGGAAGTGATTGCCAATCCTCGACCTAGTCAGCACGCGATATTAGGTGACCGAGCATTAATATCGGCAACTGGGAACAAAAATAAAATTCAAAGATGGCGCTTGGTACTTCGGAAGGAAATTCGGCTGTGTTTTCGTATTTTCCAAGGTTTGTATAGCTATTTTTTTTATGTTTTTAGGGAGAATTAAATCATTAACGAATTTTTTTGTTTTTTCTTTGTTTGCTTTTCTTTTTCCCTTTGACATCAAAGTGTTATTTTTACGTGTGAAATAAGCTTATTCGAATTGCCACGTGCCGCGCTTTGATCGGGGAATGGATTTTAAGTCAATTTTGCAAGAAATACAAAGGCTATTTTCCTGTCAGTGCCATTTGGTGAATTACCTCGCAACAGCGTAAAGCTTTTCTACATAAACAAATTCTAAGTACCCAAGTACAGTAGACCAGGGAATCCCTTGTTTTTGTGAAGTGAACACAGAGTAATTTTATATATATGAGTGAGCAGTGACTAGAGTGATTAGGGTTAAGCACTGACAATACTGATCAGGGTTAAGCACTAACTCGTAACGGTTAGCTTCTATAATTTTAGGGTCAGGGTTTTGGCTATATTTTTTAAATCAAACCATTGTCCTGTAGTGAATCCTTGATGGCTTAGTGGTTTGGGTAGAGGACTGGGGCTAACAGCAGACCTTACGTCCCGGGATCAAATCCTGAATTTTTTTCCCTGTAAAATTGAAGAGACATTTAAATGTTTCCAAAGTTTTAAAACTTTGACAACATTTTCTTTCTTAATTTCATGTAAGTGTAAATCCTTGATGGCCTAGTGGTTTGGGTAATGGACTGCAGACCCTTCGTCCCGGGATCAAATCCTGCTCATGCTGTTGTGAATTTTTTTTTCTTTAAAATTGAAGAGACTCACACTTTGACAACATTTTTTGAGCAGAAACTAAGTCTCTGAGTCAAGAAACTTAGGAAGTGTAAGTGAGAGGGAGTTTTGAGTTGGTGAAACGAAAAACTGTAGGTCCCGTCTCACAGCACTTGTACTTATCTGGTTTTTGTGGGATGTAAAAGAACCCACACCACTGTTTGAAAAGACAAGGGGACACAGACCCTGGTGGTGTGGTCAACCTTCACACATCACATCATTCTCATCATGCGTTGGGTGGGTACAGTAAGCTCATAAATGGACTGAGAGCGGCTGCCAGTGGTGCCATTGTATGCTGCATCCAAGCTTACAGTTCACATGTTGATATATATATTATGAGAGGGTACGGTACGTCTGTTGTCCTCTCATCCATGACTCCTTCCTTCCTTCCTTATGACTGCTGGTGATTGATTAAAAAAATTGACCTATGTTGGTAAAGTTATCCTACATGGAACAAGAATCGTGATTCCTAAAGTCTTGAGAAAGAGAGTTTTGGAGAATGATGAAATATGTAGGGGGGGCATTGTGGGATACCCAATACCAACAGACTGAACTTCTATTTGTTTACTCCCACAGTTTGGGGATGGATGACAGTTGAGGCCACTGTGCAGTTCCACAGTTCAGCAGGACAGTTAGCAGCAAGGTAATGTTAAAAGTAACAATCCTTCAGTTGAGTGGACATGACATATATGTATAAAGGGTTGTCAGAAAGTTTTGAAGTAGACGGCTGAGTTGTGAAAGTAAGCGGCCAGTCCATGGATATTTTATTTCAAAAACACCATCGTAAAGAAATGCCAAGCACAGTAGCCGACGGTTACTAACCAGGTAGGCGGCGATTTTCGCAGGCAGCGGGCTAACTTTTTACAACCCTGGTATGACATCTTAGGCCATAATAGTGATTAAGTACCCTCTTTCTTCAAAGCTGTACACTCTATTGTTGGCAGTTAGTTCTTAAGATAATTATTTTAGTCCCCCACGTAGATGTTCCTTTGGCTTGTCACAGAAGGAAGGAACCTGACCAAGCCCTTAGAATGTCTGCACGGGAGGCCAGAGAAATTATTTTAGTCAGACAGCCTTATGCACTGATAACAGACAGCCTTATGCACTGACAACAGACAGCCTTATGCACTGAGACAACTCAAGAAGTGCAAAGTTCCGTCGGCTGATATTGTTCATATCTACTGCACACTAATTTCTCGATACTAGAGTATGCCTCCGCTGTCTTTGCTGACTGGCCTACGTATCTTGCTTGCTATCTTGAGAATGTGTAAAAAACGGCCCTTTCCATCATTTGGCCTGGTATTTCATATGAAACAGCTCTTGACAAAGCTGCATTATCCACTCTTTCTGACTGTCGGGCAGTCTCGTGTATTAAATTTATAGGTAAGGTTCGACCAGGTCACCCATTATACCCACTAATACACAACAGAGTGGTACCTATATCTACCAGTGCGTGTCTAAGATCAGGGAGTTCTAGCAGGCCAATGGCCACAAGGACTGAACATTTGTCAAATTTTGTTAGTGTCAAATATTAATCTTGTCAATAAATGTAGCGTATTAGACTAGTATATATATCACAGCTTGTGAGGTATCCAACAATTCAGTGTTCTGACTGCAAAAGGGACAATACACCAGTGATTTGATTTGATTTGATTTGACCTGTTTTTAAACTGAACGAAAACAACACAAGATGAGTGTTGACTGGCAAATCACCTATACACAATAATGTCATTATTTAAGACCCCAATTTTTTTTTTGCTTTGAGCCACTGGATGGTTACAGGGATGACAACAGTAACTTTAAATTCTAAGCCTGTTTCATAGTTATATATAACCAAATTATTGCATTCACTAAGTTATAAATCTACATGTACTAATTAGGTTAATTTTTGTTTTAAAAGAACAAAAGCAACTTAAGGTGGCTCGTACTAGTTTTCTTGTGTGGGGAGTCCATCACGCATGCACATCCCACTACACTTTTGTACGCATAAGATACAGAAAATCATCATGGCGGCGTGTGGCTATTTTTCTGCAAGTTTAACTTCTATTAAACACTTAACTGAAATACCTTGTGACAAATTGACAAAATACCAACAGACTGAACTTCTATTTGTTTACTCCCACAGTTTGGGGATGGATGACAGTTGAGGCCACTGTGCAGTCCCACAGTTCAGCAGGACAGTTAGCAGCAAGGTAATGTTAAAAGTAACAATCCTTCAGTTGAGTGGACATGACATATATGTATAACATGTTTAGGCCGTGGTAGTGATTGATTACCCTCTTTCCTCAAAGGAGTACACTCTATTGCTGGCAGGTTTCTATTAAGAAAATTTAGCCTCTCACATAGATGTTACAGGTCAAAATTATATCCAGTTTAAAATTTTTGGATCTTGTGTAATTTGGGCACCCCTTGGTCGACATATCGGTCGACATGTCAGTCAATATATCGACCAGCACACAAGCGATATTTGTTTGATATATTGACCGACATCACTTGGTCAACAGGTCAACCGAGTGTCAGTAAATATACATCGATCGACATATCGGGCAAGTATCGATCAATATTCTGCAATGAATATCTACTTCCCTTTTTGGACTGTAAAAATCCATATCCAAGATAAACCATGGATTACTGCAAAACTCTAAATAAAAATATTATATTTCTAAACGTCAACAAGCTTTTATAAAGTCCAGGAAGGACTGGATTGTTTACAGATTCTGGTGCAACAAAGTCCAGCTTGAAAAATCCTTGCTAAGCAGCATTACTACTCACACAAAGTGGAAGATCAAGTTTCTGATAAAAGCATTAGCAATGAGTGTTTTCATCGATTTATTGGCCTGGATCAATTTCATGATTGCCTAGCACTAGCAAATGGAATCAATTACTCCATTTTTTCTCACAGTTTCTGCCTTTGATCCATACCCCAGTTAATCATCCTGTCATTCCACCTTTTCTTTTTTTTTTCTATCTGAAAGAGAACCTGCCATTAAATAAGGCACCTGGTCCTGACAGCATTTCTGACAAGATTTTTGATTAATTTGCTCCAGAACTTGCTCCAATTATTATATGTGACATCTATAATCAATCATTGCGGGATCATTTGTACCAGACCCACTTAAGCAGTCGATTGTAATACCAGTTCCAAAGGTTTCACCACCCCGGGAGATTCACAGCGATCTCAGTCCAATTTCACTCACTAAAAGCATTGTGGAGATCTTAGAGGGTTTCACCAATAGGAGATTTCTACACCAAGTAGACGATTATATTGACCACAAGCAATTTGCCAGAAAAGGACAGTCAACAAGCCATGCCCTTGTTTATCTTTTACAAGCTATCCATGAGGCTAATGATTGCTGAAATTCCTCTGTCTGAATTTTCTTTTCAAACTTTTCAAAGCGATTTGATATGATAGATCACCATACACTTGTGGACGAATTCTCACTCCTTGGTGTGGACCCTGCTCTATCTGATTGGATAGTCTTTTCTGACTAATAGAACCCAAGCTGTGTGTATAGATAATACCTTGCCTGAGTGTAAACACACCCATGGTGGCATACCCCAAGGGACTAAGATGAGCATTACCCTGTTCTCAATTTATGATAAATAGACTCTTGAGGGAGTGAAATATAAGGGTGTAGATGATACTACGGTTTTAGAACTCCTACTACATAACTCCATTAGCATTTTGAATTTGGCTGTTAGAGACACACACAATTTTTTTTATTGAGCCTAAGATGAAGTTAAATCCACTGAAGAGTAAAGAAATGCTTATAAATTTCATGAAATATCCTAATAATATTATTCAGGCTATTTGCATTGGAAACCACCAGTTGGAGCATGTTTCGACCTTTAAATTACTTGGTGTTAAAATCAGACACCATCTTAAATTGAAAGACCACATTGATTATATTTATAGTAAAGCTGCCAAACGATTTGCATAACTTAAGGGTGTGTAAAAGAGCTGGTGTAGCTGGCAGCAATATTATCAATATCTTAAGTGTTCCATCAGAGCGATACTTGAACTGTCCCAGCATGGCAAGATATTCCAGAGTACTTATCTGTCAAGTTAGAATCTATACAAAGACAAGCCCTTAAGATTGTTTTCCCTGACTATACTTATGATGAAGCTCTGACTGTCTCTGGCCTTGAGAGTCTTGAGAAAAGATGACTTGCTATGAGTGGCAGCTTCATCTTGGCATGGAGGTTACGCACTTGTCAGGAAGTTATTAGTGTACCATAACTATAATCCTAGATCTGGCCATGAAAAGTCTTTCCACCCGTACATTAGAACCAAAAGATTGAATGATTTTATTACCTTTAAATTTTTAGACTAGTTTCATAACCTTTTGTTTGTTATAGTATCATGATTGTTAATTTTGCTACTTGACAATTCAGTGTATTTTACTGCAAAGAGCGGAATAAATGATGTTTATTTATTTATTTATTTACCGATATGTCGACCGAGCGTCGGTCTATACTATCGACCAACACTCTACTGAAGGGTGCACAAATTACACAAGATCCAAATTTTTTAACCTAGGTTGATTCTTAATTTCCTTTGTCTCCTAGCCCTAATTCAGAATCAACCTGCAATGAAGGACAAAAGTGTTGAGACATTTACTAGCCCAAATATCATTTCAGCTAGCCCAAAAAACATTTCGATGGGCAGATTGATTTCACAGTTCTTCTGTAATTTGAATTCCTCAAAAAAATTCACTTGCCCATCGGGCAAGTTAATAACAGAATTCACTAGCTCGATAGCAAAATCCACTAGCCCCGGGCTATCGGCACTACTTTCTTTGCACGCAGGTGGACATACCTATCCCCTTACCCTGTCTATCCCAACCCCTTCCCCCCAAAATCAGTGTTGTATTTTGGGCCCTCAAGTCTTTCTTTTACTTCAGACAACATTGATTTGGGGGGTGAGGGGATTTACGGCGTTTAAAAGGAATGAAATAATAATTGAACTTAATGTTTGATAAAAGCACCCGTTTTAAACAAGTTTGTTAACTACTTTTGTCCCTGATTGTAGGTTAAAAAATTTTAACCTGAATTTAATTTTGACCTGTAACATAAACGTTCCTTTGGCCCGTCACATAAGGAAGGAACCTTAGCAAGCCCTTAGAACATCTGCACGAGAGGCTAAAGAAATTTAGTCTGCAATTAAAAAGTGGGTGGTGAAGGAGGAGAACAGGATGAGAAAAGAGAAAATAAGGAAGTATTTTGACCTGTTTTTAAACTGAAGGGAAACAACACAAAATGAGTATTGACTGGCAAATCACCTATACACGATCGTCATTATTTAAGACCCAAATATTTTTTTTTGCTTTGAGCCACTGGATGGTTACAGGAATGACAACAGTAACTTTAAATTCTAAGCCTGTTTCATGGTTATATATAACCAAATTATTTCGTTCACCAAGTTGCAAATCTACTGACTAGGTTAATTTTTGCTTTAAAATAACAAAAGCAACTTAAGGTGGCTCATACTAGTTTGAACTAGACTGAACTTCTATTTGTTTACTCCCACAGTTTGGGGATGGATGACAGTTGAGGCCACTGTGCGGTTCCACAGTTCAGCAGGACAGTTAGCAGCAAGGTAATGTTAAAAGTAACAATCCTTCAGTTGAGTGGACATGACATATATGTATAATGTCTTAGGCTATGGTAGTGATTAAGTACCCTCTTTCCTCAAAGAAGTACACTCTGTTGTTGGCAGGTTTCTATTAAGAAAATTTAGCCTTTCACATAGATGTTACAGGTCAAAATTTTATCCAGTTTAAAATTTTTGGATCTTGTGTAATTTGTGCACCCCTTGGTCGACATATCGGTTGACATGTCAATGGATGGTTACAGGAATGACAACAGTAACTTTAGATTCTAAGCCTGTTTCATAGTCATATATAACCAAATTATTTGATTCTCTTAGTTGCAAATTTACTAATTAGGGTAATTTGTTGCTTGAAAAGAACAAAAGAAACTTAATAAGGTTGTAGGGTAGAGTGGCAGTTGTGCAGTTGGAGGGGGGAGGGGGTGGGGGGTGACACCTGCTGGTATGTCCAAGAGGGTTAGGGTATTTTTCAGGGAAGACAATATTTAACTCAAGCATTGGGTGCTCTGCATTCAATAAAAAGGTACTGTTCTACTATTGGGGAACAGAATTGAGTGCTAAAATATTTTTAAAAATTATTAAACTTTTGTTTCTCATTCCTCATCAGATGCTGCCTACAGACAGGACCAAACCAGCAGCAGGCAGCCAAGATTTAGAGCTTATCTTCAGTACTGTGAGTGCTGTATATTTTACTTTGTAATCCAGCTCTTGAGTGAACCAGATAAATGGGACTGTTGGCCAGTTTGTTCAAAGTGATTAAACTAATGCAGGAAAAAACAGAAAGCAACAAATTCATGCACACAGTTAATTGATCACCTCCAAGTGTACATTTATTACTGAAGGGTGGACTAATTTGAGAAGGTTACAAAAACAGAAAAATCAAATTAACACAAAATGTCAGGGAAAAAATTAAGCCAGATTTAAAACAAAACAACAGTGCATCAGCCTAGGCAACATTAATTTTGCATCCCCTTTTTTTTGCTGCTTCCTAAAAAATTATGACTGATGGTAAAGTAACTATCTTGGAACCCAGAAGGTTATTTTACTCTGAGATCAGAACGAAGACAAAAAAAGTGCTGGCAATTATATTAAAGCAATTGACATTCAACAATAAATGTGCAGAAGCCAAGAGTGGGTTCAACTTCTAAATAATAAAAAATCACTAATTAAATGAGTTCTTGTTAAATTGATGTTTAAAGGCCAAGCAAATGAACAGACTCTTTTACAGGGATTTTTGAATTCAGTTCTTCCAACCAACAGACACTTTTAATTGTCAGCTGTGTAATTTTTAAGTGCAAAACAATGTTCAGTTTTACATACATTGGCGCCAGAAGGTAATTTTGAAATAAATGGAGGAAATTAAATTTTGATTATTTAGCAGCCTGATTTTGTTTGAAGAAAATTGATTGTTAAATTTGAGGTGATATGCATTTGTTGGTTAAGTACTTATAATTAATGGTCCACAAAAATGACCTTGACAGTCACTTTTTGTTTTCTCCTGTATTAGTGTCGATTACTTTGTTCAACAGTGTCACAACGTTATTTTATCAAATGCCAAGTTCTGCTCAGATTATTAGGAGTTAGCACAGATATACAATCTGCCAAATGGTTAGGAAAAGGGGAACATGTACTCACACTTTGATTAAACCTTCAAGTCATTATCAAAGTCATCCAAAACAACTAGTTTATACTTAGTAGATGTCTCTTTATCACTGATGTGGTGCTGAAGTTACTAAGTGACTCGGTGGTTGACTGTCTGTAACTGAAATTGAAATTTTTCGTTGTTTCTTTTTTCTCAAAATAAGCCTAGAAATAGTGTTTGGTTGTGTTTTGGATAGAAAACAAGCCTCTCCAGACTATAAAAATGTTGGTTTTACATGGTAGGCAATTTGGATTTTTCCTAAGGAGTTAGTCCATGATTTTTGGATTTTTTCATTTTACTGTTAGGCGGTGTTCTGGGGAGAAAACAATTGCGGTTCTACACTATAGAAATATCAAAATAACTCTTTTATGTAGCCACCAAATTTGATTTTCCGAAGGGGTTAGTCCATGATTTTGGTCAAAAATTTGCAATTTCTTTGTTCTTTCTTTTTGGGAAAAGTAGGCCTTAGAAACAATTTTAAATAGGAAAAAAGTCTTTCTGCACTACAAAAATATTAATTAAAGATAGTCACCAAATTGGATTTTTCTTAAGGGGTTAGTCCATGATTTTGGACAAAAATTTGAAACTTTTTTATCACCTCTATTTGGACAAAATAAGCCTAGAAAAAATGTTTGGTGATGTTTTGGGTAGAAAACAGGGCTTTCCAGTCTATAGAAAAAGTCAATTTTACATGGTCACCAAATTGGATTTTTCCTAAGGGGTTAGACAATGCTTTTGGTTAAAAATTTGAAATTCCTTCATTATTCCTTTTTGGACCAAATAGGCCTAGAAATTGTGGTTGGTGATCGATGTTTTGCATAGAAATTATCAATTTTACATGGTCACCAAATTATGTTATTCCTAACGAGTTAGCCCATGATTTTGGTTAAAAATTGGAAATTTCTTATTATTCTCTTTTGGACAAAATAATCCTAGAAATAGTGTTTGGTGATATTCTGTGTGGGACACAAGCCGTTCTGCGGTATTAAAATATTGATTTGAGAGTGTCATCAAATTGGAATTTTCTCAAGGGATTAGGCCATAATTTTGGACTTAAATTAAAATTTCTTCTTTGCATGTTTTTGGGCAAAAATGTCCTAGAAATATTGTTTGGGGAAGTTTTGAATAGGACACAAGCCTTTCTGTGGTATAAAAATATTGATTTTTGATAGTCACCAAATTTGATTTTTCTAAAGGGGCTGTCCATGATTTTGGACAAAAATTTGAAATTTCTTCTTTGTATTTTGGCAAAATTGGCCTAGAAATAGTGTTTGGTGATATTCTGGATACGAAACAAGCTTTTCTAAACTGTAAAAATATCGATTTGGATAGAGGTTAGTTGGCAAAAATTTTTTCATTTTTTCTTTTGAAGAAAATAAGCCTCGAAAAAATGTTTTGTGATAGTTTGGATAAAAAGCCAATAAAAATGTTGAAAATATTGATTTTACATGGTCACCAAACTGGATTTTTCCCAAGGGGCTAGTCCATGATTTGGGGCAAAAATTTGAATTTTATTTTTATTTCTTCTTTTTTTTATTTCTTTTTTTTGGCACAGAAAAAAGGTTTGGTGATATGTTTGATTAAAGCAAGCCTTTGCAGACTGTAAAGAAGTCGAGTTTAGATAGTCATCAAATGGGATTTTTCTAAGGGGTTAGTCCATAATTCTGGACAAAAATTTTAAAATTTTCATTCTTCCTTTTTGGGCAAAATAGGCATAGAAATAGTGTTTGGTGATGTTTTGGATAGGAAAACAGCCTTTCTGCAGGAGCTTAGCTCATGATTTTGGGCAAAAATTTTCATTGTTTTGATTTTTTCTTTTTGAGCAAAATAAGCCTAAAAAAATGTTTTATAATATTTTGGATACAAAGCAACCCTTTGCAGGTTGTAAAAATATCAATTTTAGATAGTCACCAAA